TTCCATGTTTGAAAAAATAAAAGGGTATCTGAAGGCACTGACGGGGCTTTGGAGGCTGAACATGACAGCAGGTGAGAGGCAGCAAGAGAGCAGCTGGGGACTCCTGGGATCTCTAGAGGGCCTCAGAGCACACGGCCAGCCCTTCACGGGAGAGGTGGCTGCTGGGGAACAGCCTGGCTTGGTTCGAGGTGTGACCCGTTGATGGAGATGTCGAGGATCCCCGGGTGCCACCGTGGGTGCTCTGTGCAGCTGGCATATATAAGGGCACTGGGCCTCTTGGAGCATAGACGACTGAATGAGAAAAGTTGGCACTTAGGACATGCCTCGTGACATCACCCAAGCCCCACAAATCCTGATGCTGCGGGTGCTTAGTGGTGCGGGAACGCAAGGGCTGGGTGCAAGAGTCTGCGGGAGTGAGTCCAGGACTGGCAGGAACCAAGTGTCACACGCTGATGGCTTCTGTGGTCACTGTGTACACAGCCATGACGGCCCCTGCCTGTCTCAGGCCACCTCACCCCTGGCTGTGTCTGCAGCAACTCTTTCCTCTTCTCCTCCTGTAGCTGTGCCCAGTACAGGGAGTGGCACTGATACGAGAGACACAGGTACTGCTGCTGGGACCCAGGACTTGAGCTCAGAGCCAAAAAGGGGAACATCAGCACCCATGCCAGGTAAATGCTTGTGTTCCCAGGTGCCCACTCCTCCCAGTGGAGCAATTCCATCAGACAGTTGGTCCTTAGCACAGGGGCCTTGGGACCTTTTACAAAATGCAGGCGATAGGTATGGGGAGGAAGACATTGGTTCCAGTCTAAGCCCTGTGACTATGAAAGGGGACCCTGAGAAACCCAGACTTCATTTAAAAATTGTGTATTTATTCTTACATGTTTAAACTTCAGTCATCTTCAAAGTACTCTATTTGATGCAGTACACCTATTGAGATGCTTTTTCCACTGCTTAAAAGTTTCTGAACTCGTCAATTTTGATGCCTTTTAGTGCTTCTGACATTTTTTGTTTCACCTCTTCCACATGAGTAAAACATTTCCTTTGAGAACTTTTTTAATCGGGGAAACAAAAATGTTACTGGAGGCGAGATCAGCTGAATAGGGAGAGGGGGCTCTGGGGTCACGCGGGTTTTGGTCAAAAACTGCTGAACACTCAGCGTGGTGTGGGCAGGTGTGTTGTCATGGTGGAAGACCCAGTCACCTGTTTGCCACATCTCAGGATGTTTCTTCTACAAATTGTGATGCAACCTTCTCAAAACTTCCATGTACAGACTTTGGTTGACGGTTTGATCTGGAGGAAGAAATTCAGTATACTGTAAGGGGTCCACCCTCCAAAAGATAATTCCATTTAAAAAAAAAAATTTCCTTTTGTATTATGAAGGTCTGGAGGTGAGTCTTCCACTCTGTTTCCCCTGTGCGAGAGAGGTATAGTGAAAACCACCCTGATCCAGCACAGGGCTGTTATGAGCACCCAATGAAAGAACCTTATACTTTATAAATGATAGAATGTGGTGCAAATACAGTAATCCTCTGATGAAGCTGTGGTTCCCATAATGATGACGGGTGGCTCATGGCAGAAGGCTGAGCTGATGGAAGGGCTCAGAGATGTTCTTCTGAGCAAAGAGAGGTGAGTAGTTCCAGCATGGTGTGGAGCATAAAAACATAAAAGAAACAAAAAAGACAACACTTGCCTGGGGGCAGCTGGACTTGGGAAGAGCCAGCATGGTCCCCATGCATGGGCTTCTGTCTCTTCCAGCCACTGATTGGTTGGTCCCAATTGTGGCTGAGCACTCTCCTGAACCTCAGTTTCTTTCTTCTTCTCGGAATTCTAAGTTGCCCTGTCATGTCTGTGGTGTCCCCTGGGTACTCCTGACTGCTAGGAAGATGAAGTTTTCAAATGGCAACAGGATGGTTCCCCTGGAACCAGGGAGCACTTTCTTTTTCAGGGCGCTCTTTTGGGATTCTGAAAGCAGATTTTACCATACCTGCTCTGATGGATGCAGAGGAGATGAAAGACGAGTTTTTGAGAGAGGTGAGACTTCTGCCCGCTTCTAATTTTGATCAGCCAGAGGACTTGTCAGTGCAAGGCAATATTATCAAAACCAGTATGTCAAGGGAAAAGCTTTGAGAAATTACCTCATCTGGTCTCTAGTGCTGTCAGTTTGGTGCATGGTGACATGCTGGCTATGTGCCAGAATTTTTTTTTTTTTTTTTTAATCAAGACAGCATAGTTGGAAGGATCTGAGTTTGAGTCCTGGCTCTACATTTGTTCATTGTGTAGCCTTGGACAAGTCACTTAGTCTCTCTGAGGCCCAGTTTCCTCCAGAAATTGGAACGATAATAATGGTACCTCACTCATGAGGTTGATGTTATGATTAAATGACAGATTCCATATAAAGTGCTTAGCAAATTGCCTGACATGTAGTAGTAGGTGCTCAATAAACATTAGCTATTATATTATCAACATTATTGTAGTGTTCTGAATACACATTTGTTCCAGATTTTATTTTCTGGTTCTTTTAAAGTATTATGCCATGGAAATTGTAAGGAGGAAGAATTGTTTCTAAATCCTGAGAGAAAAGCCTCAAGCTGAATTTTGAACATGGTCTAAGGGTACATTTCTCAATTACATCAGATAATCATCACAGGACATCACAGCTAGAGAGAACCGTATAGACCATCTAACCCAAATCATAATTTTACAGAAAACGAAACACTGGCATTTACCTAGTAGCACGATACAGTTTATTCATAGGCCAAATAGTGCCTGAGGCAATTCACCTAGAACTTCACAAAATCAAGTTTTTAGGAAGATCAGTAGTGTATGTGTATATAATGAATATGTTTATTATAAATTTTACTGATACAAAGAATGTATAGCATACAATTTACAAGTTATAATAACTATACAGTACTCTTCATTATAATTTGATAGAGCCAACTAACTGATTCTTACCAAATACTTGTGAGTTTGGAAAACTCCCATGAGCATGTGCATGTGTGCCTGCCTGGAGTGGAGAGAGGGTTGGAGAGCTTTCGATGCATTTTGCAATCGAAAGAAGTATAAGTACAAACGATGCAATTGTGCAGTGGTATTAGACTGGCAAAAGGTCCACTTGTTTCTTTTGGTGAGGGGGAGACAAAAGAATTTGGAGTTCTCTCCTTTGTTTATTCCTTAAAGTCAAATGTAGCATATGTGGTTCTGGCCTGGCCCTTCGGCATCCTTTGAGGGTGTATTCATCGGAGCTTCTGATGCCACAGCCATATACCTTCTGTTTTAAATTGGAGCCAGTGGGGAAACTGTGGTTAAATTGGGGCACTCCATCTTCTGGTCAGCTTTGTTGGGTTGTAAACGAGATGACCACGTTAATAAAGAAAATTCCGACCTCCCAGATTTAAAGAATGAGACTGGTGAAGACTGAGTGTGCACTGTCAGCTTTAGCAGCACTTAAAATTCCAAATAGATGGTAAGGAAACACCTGTAACCAACTTCTCCCAGGTCCAGGAATGGAGCAGAAAACATGTTAACAGACACACATTCATAGTGCTCAGAGCTGGATTTGGACTAGGTTCTTAACCCTGACTCTTCAGAATCCTTTGGCGAGGTTTTTTTTTGTTTTTTGTGTTGGAATCTCACTCTGTCGCCCAGGTTGGAGTGTGGTGGCATGCTCACGGCCACCCCAGCGTCGACCTGCTGAGCTCAGGCAATCCTTCCGCATCAGCCTTCCAAGCGGCTAGAACTACAGGCACGTGCTACCACGCCTGGCTAATTTTTTGATTATTGTAGAGATGAGGTCATGCCAAGTTGCCCGGTCTGGTCTTGAACCCTTGGGCTCAGGCAATCCTTTCGCCTTGGCCTCCCAAAGAGCTGATTACAGGCTTTGAGCCACCACACCCAGCCCTCTGGCAAGGATTAAAACAAACAAACAAACTTGGTCCCAGTCCTTAGAGACAGCCTATGCATTTGTTCCAGGTAGAGCTTGGGAGGCACTCCTACTTTTTTTTTTTTTTAACACTCCAGTGATTCTGATGAACAGTCAATATTCAGAACCATTGATTTAGTCATTTGTTTTAGTCTCCTTTACCATTAAACTTTTTTGGGGAAAGGGGGAACTAAAACAAATGATGTATGTCTTTTCCCACTGATGAAGACGCCAATGGCAAAAGTCAGGCAGCTGAAGAGAGGCTAAAAACATGAAGGGATATGGACAGACATAAAGCGTATGTGGCTGGATGGCTTAGGGTTGCGAGAAGGATGAAGTGGCAAGATAGCTTCAACAGTTTCACTCTTTTGATGTTTCAGATCCAAGAAGTCTTACAGCTTATATTGGGTCATGAAGAATTCAGTCTGAAATGGGTTGGCTTCGAGGTGAACAAAAAGTAGCATGTGTTTATTGATACACAGCATCTTCTCTGGATTTTGAATAAATTTTAGGCTTTTAACTTCTAGCAGAAGAGGATGAGAAAGAACCCAAAATGTGCCAAGAAGCATAGACCTAGAACTAACACAAAAGAAAACCACACATGAACGCCACACCCCAGATTTTACAGAGTGAAATAGTTATGAAGGAGAAGATGGGGGTGTTTGGGACAATAACCTTGAGAATGACAAACGGACTTCTATTTGGAATTTAAAATAAAAAACCTGAACCAAAAAACAGAAATCCTGAAAACAAATCCCATTAACTGGGAATTAAGAGAGAATAGTGGTGGTCTAGGAAGCTAAGTGGGGCCATATTGCCAAATAAACCAGAAGAAGCTTTCTTTGCAGTCATAAGCTACTAAAGAGATTTTAAATTCTCCAAAATGAGGAGCTCAGTAGGTCCCAAGTGTATGTCTCTTTCACCTAGAAACTGGGAAACTCTAAGACACACTGTTCTTAATGTTAAAATCTATTTTCAGAATACAGTTCCTGCACACATCTTCCTTCTTGGTTTTCCCAGGGTCCCAAGCACCCAGACACATGCTAGGAGGCAGCACAGTACAGTAGCAACTTCAGTCTGAAATGTTTAAAGTTAAAGTTTATTTGTATTCTTTGTAGGAATATCAATAAAAGACCTCAAACGTATCTATATCTGTACATGTACAAGAACCGTCAAAAATTATTCACAGAACAAAAATAAATCTTCTTTAGAACAAACCCAGGTAATGAAATGCAGATATGGATCTCACATATGGAACAATCTAAGTGCTACTAGCACAAAAATATGGCTTTAAAAATAAAATAAAATCTTGGGTTTTGTTTTTCTAAGGTGTACTTCTCTTTCTTGAAATAAAAAATAAATTATTTAGAGCTATCATTGTAAAATAGTCATGTGTGTTAACACACTCTTATTAAGGCCCTGGAGATGAAAAACAAAATCAAATTTGGAAGGTAAATTCTTCACAGGTGTGATTCAGACTAATGTGCCGCTGTCTGCTAAAATTAATTTTAATATAACTAGGAAATGTCTAAGCACCAGTCAAAATTTAACCTAATTTACTATTTATTTTAACTTTTCTGAATATGGTCATTATGTCAATTAGTATTTTAATCTTTTGGTGAACTGGGAATTGACATTTTTCCCTTAAAAATTTGGAAATGTCATAAAATGATATTTATATATAAATATGTGCACCCCCACACAGATGATGGAGGTCCCTAAAACACAGGTTCTGTGGAAATCTCTCTTTAATAACAGAGAAATCTGGTTTTAGGTCCCAAACTTAAAAAACTTCCTGGGGTCAAATGAGGGCAGTTGAATGAAAACAACAGAATAGGAAATTAAGATGCATGCTGAAATATGAGTAAAAATTACCACTTTCCTTTCTCTGGATGGCTCACTGTATTTGCCTAGTCTTGCTGCATTGGTTACTCAAACATCTTTAGATTAAGCGATCAGGAACCAAAGCTAGTTCTTTCTGTATCTTCTTAGATCAGTGATATTCAACTTTATTTCTAGGACTCCCCATGGTATCAATAATGATATCTAGGGTTCTTAAGACAACATCAAGCCACATCAATTTCAGGTCACTTTAACTTATATATTCATATAACACATATAGTACATTTTTAAGAAGATAGAATGACTGTCATAAAATTTAACAAATGAAAGCATAAAATCTAAACTCAAGAAAGTCTGGGAATCACTGATCTATGAAATGGATTAACATTCAGAAAAGGAAGCCCCAGGAATTTTTGTTTTGTGTAGGTGTGCATGTATTATCTACAGAAACTGCCTTTCCATGTATCTATGTATATTAAGAGCAGGCAAGGGACATAAACCTTCCTTTTTCCCTGGACCCCTGGGCTACCGAGAAGACTGCTTATGCCCTGGTTCCCTTCTGGATCATGTATCTTCTTCAGGTTCCTCTACTCTTCATAGGATATTTATTCTATCTCATGCAAATTTAATCATTTTTGTCCTTCCTAAACTCAAGAGCATTCATAACTAGGTAATGACAAGAAGAGAATGCTTCTAGAACTAATAACAATCATTCAAACATGAAAAGAGATTCTCTTTAAAAATTCAACACTCCAACAATTCTTGCTTTTAAGAAAATAGTAAAATTAGTCCTTTAAATTGAAATTTTCTAAAAAACAAAGTATCCCAAATTCTTGGCCCCCAGGTAAGGGTAGGAAGGCAACTGTTTACTGCTGGGGCAAGCAGGGACTTCAGTTCTAGACTTGAGCAAAGGAGGGGTGGGGAGAAGGAAATCCTTCTGGCTTTCCACAGTTCATAGGAGAAGCAGCCTCCAAAGGTGCAGCTCAACAAGCAGTGAAGCTGTGGCAAGGGTTCTGGTGCTGCTGGATGTAGCCAAGTGACAAGTCTGGTCTGGTGTCAAGCATGGGTGGGGTTCAGGGTCACAACGGAGGAGACTGATGGGACTGAAGAGGGTTCAGCCCCATAACTGGCCTTCTCAGGAACTCCAGACTAGATAAACCACAATGGAAGGCCAGGCAGACTCACTTATGGCAGTTTTCTTGCTCTGAGACTTTCAAAAACAAACTCTGCTCCCAAGCTGGTATACCACAGTGAAAGCCAGGGGTCGACAGAGCCACAGACCCATGAACAAAGGCTCTGTAGGACTGTACTTCTAAAGTCAAGTTCATTCTCAAGGGCATGTAGTTAATGCTTTAATGGTCTTCGACAGGAAATCTTACTTCTTTCACTGCTTAACACCATCACAGAGAAAAGTGAAAGTGGATCCAGTCAGAGAAAGAAAGTGCTGACCAACTTGATACTAAATGGAAAAAGTAAAAAGCGACAGCAGCGTGATGACCTCATCTCCCCACAGACTGTCCCTTACCCACAGACTGCCCTGGACCTGAGCAGGACCTTGGTGACAATGCTTAGAACACAATATGTGCTCAAGTGCTCGTTAGACTACCAGTTACAGCCTCTTCTCTGATGTGGCTTTTATTGCAGAGGCTCAGGGAATATGATGATCTGATGGAAATGTAACTCTTTTGCTGCTTCAGCTCAGATAACTTATTGCTCCAGTAATATAAAAGGGGGACCATGAAGCCCTTGTCTTGACTCCTACCAGCACTATCCTTGCTCATGGCCAAGTCTGCTGGCAGACAAGCACTTCACCTGAATTCCAAATTCCACTCCACGCTAGCCTATCCTGCACCTCACAATGTGGTGATATGTGGAGGGAGGTGGAGTATAAGGCGTGGCTCTTTTAATCTACCTGCCTCCCTTCAACCATGCACCTCCTCCCAGCAAAACAGAGGTGTGTAGCTATTTGAACTGAGGAAAAGCCAATTAAGCAACATCTTCATAAAAATTATCAGTCATTGCTGCCTTCTTCCATACTTAAAATATATCTTTCAGAATAAGTTCTATAGATTCCAGAATTCTGTAGAACTCAGAAAAATATCTGGATAGGAGTAGGCTCACAGGATAATCTAAAATGTAACATCTGGCAACAACTCCGAACTTTTAGTTTACTTCTAATGCTCTTATTATTTTTACTCTGTTCTCTTCGTTCAACATAGTCGAGGGTTGCACAACCAGTCCAAATGTTTTAGGCATTTAATCTTCCAGTATAGACAGCCCTCTTAGGTGCTTCCACATACTAACAAGAAACACATTTTATTTTCTGTGGCTCCTCTCAGCCCCCAATATAGGTAATTTTATCAGTCCTCTGGAGTCTGTAACCAACACATAAGAGCTTCCAAACCTCAATGCAAGACATCACCCACGTTACATACTTAAGGCCACTGAAATGGACAATTCTTTTACCAGGTTTTCTATGGCACATTCAAAGGCTCTTACAAAGAATGAATTAAACATGGCTAGAGCTGAGAATAGCCACAAACAAAATCTATGTTTACATCCCCCTACCATAAGAAAAGACTCTACTTCAGAATCAGTAACCTCTTTTTCCTAATAAAATAAGAGATTTTGACCACTGTGTGCCCTCAGCTTGGAGGGAAGATGTAAGAATTTGCAAAATAACTACGGAAGTCAAGAAAACACCCAAGGGCCAAAAGAGCTGGGCATAAAGTCTGCAGGTCAGATAAGCACAATGAGAAGCTCCTATTTCAGATCTCTGTAGGCAGAAAAAGGGACTGTTATGCAGGAAACTGTTTAAACGGTTATGGGTTATGTGGCCATGGTGAGGCTGCTGAAATGTAAGATCCAACACCAAGGTCCACCTGAGAGAGGACAGAGCTCAGAAGGCTGGGACGCAAGCCTGGGACTCAGGGAAGGAAGGCTCGGAGTCTGGGCTTCACTCAAGAGGGCACTGTCATGTCCTTACAAGGCTATTAGGAGAAGTACTCACTCCATGCATAGAGCTCCCTCAGCGTTTTTTCTCCTCCTCCTCTCTTCCTTTTAAAAAAATTCTTTAAAGTTTATAAATTAAAATAACAACTTATTTGAGAAACAATGTTGCTTTCTCAATATAAAATCTTGCTTAAAGAGATTCAGGACCCTTTTAACATTACATCTGACAGCATAGAAGGCATGAACGTTTTCTATGTGTGCAGTTATATGTACATATGTGTGAATATATATGTATACATATTTGTATATATAATGTCTGTTTAACATGTAACATTCCATACTTCTAGTAATCAAGATTGCATTCAAGATGACATTACACGCTTCTGGAAAAAAAGGAAATAAATTAGTTTCCATGACTTGCTCTGTCCTATAATAATAAGGCTATGGATGGTGAATGTTAAAACGGGGTCATTGCCAGATCTACCAAGAGCATGGGAATGACAATTTGAAGGGGCCATCCTGACACTTTCAGTTTTCTTTTTAACAAGAGTAATCATCACTTTTAAGAAAGTGATGTTTCAGATTTGGATTTCCTTTCCAAATTTTACTGAGAGGATCAGAAGAAGAAGCAATTTAAAAGTTAAGTACGGAGATAAAATTACCCTGTCCACAGAATTGCTAGTACAATGGATAAAATCTTTATCCCAACAAAAAGTATAACTTAATAAGTAGGGAAAAATTTTTAATAGGAAGTATTCAGAGATTCCAGCTATGTAGGGTTAGCCCTTTTCTGTGCAGAAGAAAGGGTATGTATCCAATGGCTTATGGACAGAGTATCTGAATATCCTCTCCATGGGAGTAATCCATGTTAGAGATGATGGCTCCCACCCCACCATGGTAGGAAAGGCAGTGGGCGTGTGGAGGTGGAGGTGGAGATGGATTAGACATAAATATTTGTAGTTTTGTAAACTCTAAAGAGGAAAAGGAACACCCTTTATTATAATTGGGGGTTCAAAAAAAGCCCCCTATCTAAAACAGAAAATTCTCATCCGCTGTAGACAGAGGAAATAAACATACTGACAGGAGTACAGAAGTCACTCCTAAAGTCCAGTTTTGATACAACAGCTTTGATCTGTGTCTTCCAACAGTGAATCTCCAAAACAGATGAGCTGTCCAACCAGAAACAGTCTTGGTTATCAGTGGAATAAATTGTTTTATATGGATCTTGGTATCTGCATGTTTTCCTAAAGGACAAGGGGCCACAGCGGGGTTTTTAAACTAGTAGATGAATCCCTGAAAAATTCATTCCGACAATGTCCTATTGCACTCCATGTGCTTCTAACAGATAGACACTTGGTCTCTACCTACTGGACTCACAGGCTCATTTCTCACTCACACATAGTTCCTACATTTCCTCCTCTAACAACCGTAGTGCTTTCAACAAGAGGAAAACAATAATAAAAATAGCAATAATCAAAAAGGTAATCTACATTATTAACTTCCTTTTGGTATATTACAGTGGTGTTTTCTGTACATGGCCCAGAACTAAGTTCCCTATGTACATAGAGACGTGGGGGAAGCATCGACCTTGGAAGTCGTTGCCTTATGCCCTGAAAGACAAGGTTCCTTTCTTCATTCAAGAGTCTCACCAAATTGCCACTGGGAGCAGCAACATTCTGTAACCTGGAGAGGTGGAGAGAGGGCTGGGGACAGAAGAGTGGTCAGTTTCCTTCTGTCTCCTTCCACAGTATGTCTCTACACAAGGTCCATCAGCAGCTGCTGTTTTTAAATTCACCATTCTCCGTGATGGAAAGCTTGGTGGGGTTGGTGGGCGAGATGCCATTGCGGACCTGCATGCTGTACCGCTCCTTCACTTGGGTCAGCGCACTCATCAGTCTGGTGTTGGCTGAATCCAGGGACACGATCCGCTTTTCCTACAACACACCAAACATGGCTTTATTCAGGCTCCATGCAGGAAGTCACACTCTTTCTCACTGAATGACTAGCCCAATGCCTTCACTCTAGCAGTAGTATGCATGGTGCTTTCCAGACAAATGGAACGTCTCTGCCTCTTTCTGTACACTGGTCGGGGTCAGCTTTCCCTGAGCCCGGTGGTCTCCACTTATTTTCTCTCTCTTTTCCTTTCAGCATGGCACAACTTGTTATTAATAATCTCTTGGGACATTAGGTCATCATATAAAATGACATCAAGTGTTACTTCTGACTGCAGCAGAGATATCAAGCTGCCTTATGCACTAAGTGCTTTTGGTCAAAACTGAAACACAGAAATTAGGTGGCAGAGAAAGAAGCACCAGAAGTTTCATTTCACAGAGGAGAAGTGCATGTGATCTATGGGTTCTTAGCCCCAAAAGAGGGCATATCAGTCACATTTGGAAAGAATTCACATTGTGCTCAAAATTAAAACAATAATACATGGTGACAGTTGGAGTCACCAACAAGGTGAGGATGCAACAGCAAGAGGGGAAAAAGCAGCCAAAAAGCTCAGACCAAGAAGTTATTTGAATATGGGGAGGAGATGTGGCTGGAAGGGGTGCCATAAACACAACACATGAGAACAGACAGAGAGCACGGGCTCCAAACCCATTCCAGCTCAGAGGGACTCCAGGAAGGCTGTCCAATCAGGAGATTGCTTTCATTTTACTTTTGAGTGTCTGAAAAAAAATGCTTTAGAGCCAATATTTTGGGAACCAAGCGTTGGTGAATATATACAGAAGAAAACTAAGAAGGAGCCAAAAAAAAAAAAAAAAAAGAAACAAAGAAAGAAAAGAAAAAAGACAATCTAACTAAAGGAAAGCAAGACCATCTAAATCAAAAAAGTCCCATCAAAACACTATCAGTCTCACAAAGATTAAGAGAGGCACCCTAAACCCAGCATCAGCAACTTGGTAAATCATTCCAGCACATTTCAAACTTGAAGTCTGTATTTTTCAGAAAACAAGTTAATGTGGAGAAGGACAGTCTCTGCTTAGGCTATGAAATTAAAAAAGAAAAAAAAAAAAAAGCACATGAGGAACAACCCCACAGCCAAAATTAGCTTTCCTGCCCTGGGAGTTCCAAATCTACCCAGTGAAAGGCACAGAGTGACAATCACTGCTCTGGGACATCTAGGTAAACCTGACACACTCATAGGATTGAGTAAGGATTCCTGTTAATCTCCAACTTTCAGGTGTGGGGGGCAGAATCTGCATGGCAGATTAGGAAACCCTAATGCGTGCTTGTTAAAGGAAAATCCTCCTTTCTCTGAGGAAGAATTTATGCAGTAAGACACACAAAATCAGCATTATTAACTAGCTACTAATCTAGTATAGGATGCTTTTTTGGCAGGGGAAGATGTCTGCAAAGATTAATTGATAATTTCTTGAACAATTAAAGAAGAAAAGGTATTTCAGAATTGGAATACATTATATGGCCCTAATACTAAAGAAAGCAGAATTCTCCAGCATTCACCCAAGAAAATCAGTCATTATAAAAAATTATTAGATTCTTAAAGGGTCAAAAGAAGGTTAAGAATGATTATAATTACTTACTGTCTACAAAGGTAACAACTGAAGCCAAGCAACCACTCCACTAAACAGTCCAAGGCGACCACATAGAGAAATTCCCTTTGTTAATTTCCCGTACTGCCAACCTCTCAAAATAAAACAAAAAGTAAAGGAAAAAAATCAAATAGGGACTTTTGAGAGTCAAGTTTAGATGGCAAAAGATGCTGTGACATTTCAATTCCGCCTGGATTGGAAGGAAAGCAATCGAGTCCAAGTCTGACAGGAAGGATTCCAATGTGGGAGTGGCAGGAGCTGGAATGTGTAGGAGGCTGGTGCATGGGGCTAGGGCTGGGGACTCTCAGCTAGAGAACGGATGGGGTTACTTGCCTGTTTGAATAATCTCATCTCCATTTATGACCTGTAATTTAACACAGCGGAGATATCACTTGCAACAGTAACTAGGCAGTGCTTTGCTTCTTCTAGGAGGAAGCCCTTTTCTGTTCTCCACCTGAGTCACATGGAGAGATCCAGGGAGCCACAGTGTCTCCTCATGCTTGGGGGTGAAAGGCAGCACATGCCCTGGTCTCGTACTTAGGAGTGATTCCTTAATACCATCACTAGGAGCCTCATGTCCAGGCTACAAGGTCCAGGACGGGTGCTCTGCCACACACCAGGGGAGCACCCATTCTTCTGCAGCTCCAGTTAGAAAGTGGCTGACACAGGCCTGTGCCTAATGGCATAAAATGATTCAAGAAGAGGGAGAGGTTGAATTCAGGGACAAGCTCTACCTTGCGAGCACAGGGCTATCAAGTGAGAGGAAAGCCAGCTCACTAGGTACCCGGCTTTAGGGTTTTGAGAAGTGTGGGGTTCAATTCTAGTATGAGGACGGCAACTATATTCATTTCAGAAATATTTTTTACTCCCAGTGTCACCAAGACACATATCAGGGACATAAAGTATGGGTTACCTCTCTGGGAAGCTTTCACCCCCAAACATGCCTTCATTCTAGTAAGTGATACCAGAAGGGTGTCAATCATTGCTCTGCTCCACCAATCATGTAAGAGGTAAGATTTATCCTTACAAAACAAAGGCTCTGTTATCAGAAGTCATTCATTACAAAGGATGCCAAAGGATGTTCAAAGCCTTTTGCTATAAAATTTTAATGGACCAGTAAGCTAACAGCTGGAATTAAGAAACCTTCCTTTTAAGGACACTATATAATTTTAAAAAAACGATCTTTGGGTTTTATGATCTGTGCTATGCATGGTGCAGTGGTTTTCAAAATGTAATCTAGTATTCTTTAGGGATCTACAATGGGTCTCTGGTAGAATGATTATATACCAATGTCTATGTTTGAGTAGGTAATTTACTATATTTAATCAACCCCAGTATGATCTGATTCATTACTTGAGAGTAGTCAGTAGAAGAATTTGGATATTGATCTATGAAAGATCTTTGGTACCATCAAAACAGTTCAAGGAATCAAACCATTTGAAAACCATTGCTTTGAAGTATGAACCCCAAATATTAACTAGCTTAGCTAGACCACAAGTCTGACGCTGATGCTTCGAGGATAATATCTCTCCCATCACTGCACATGACACCCTTCTGGTTAACTTATTTCCCAGAGCTTTTGAGCCTGGATAAAGCAGATTCCCTCCCTGGCTTTCACCTCCTATGCCTATTACTTCTGCTTTGTCTCCAGTCACCTTGCCCTACATAAAAATAAGCGGTGGGATGGAAATCTTCAGGAGCCAATGGTGAGGCTGTCCTGTCAGTCAACATGCAGAGCTATGACTGTGGCACACTCAAACTTCCTCTGCTGAAGACTGACAGCTTTAAACCAGATGAAAGTATTGAAAAGGTCTTTTTTAAATCTCATTAGTACTAAAATCTCTCCTGGTGTGGTTATTAATAGAACTCTCCATGCTTTATATTTTTATACTAAAATTCCAGAAGTGAAAATTTATCATCATTGGTTTTCTCAACTCATTTTCTGTCTTTACACAGGCTATTTCTCTTAAGGCTCTGTCTTTACACAGGCTATTTCTCTTAAGGCTCCAGGATGGATTATTATTATTATTATTATTTTGAGTTGGAGTCTCACTCTATCGCCCTCTGTCGCCCAGGCTGGAGTGCAGTGGCACACTCACAGCCACCTGCTAGGCTCAGGATATCCTTCTGCCTCAGCCTTCCAAGTAGCTGGAACTACAGGTGCACGCTATCGTGCCCGGCTAATTTTTAATTTTATTGTAGAGATGAGGTCTCGGCAAGTTGCCCAGGCTGGTCTCGAACCGGCGGGCTCAGGCAATCAACTTGCCTCAGCCTCCCAAAGTGCTGGGATTACAGGATGAGCCACAGAGTCTAGCCTAGGATGAATTTTTATAGTACGTGTATGCATTACCCTTCCCTCACTTACCCTTGGGGACACCCAGAAAGATCTTCTAAAGTGGACCAAGTAAGACAATTACAGTAGACCTTGCTTCTGATTCTTAGTAGGTCTAAATAGCCAGGAACTATAGAGTTTAAGAGTCCAAAATATTTTGGGGAACTATGCTAATGACAGCATCACGACTCACACTTGCCTTTCAAGTCTGGTGTGTTTAAGGGAGTATAAGGGCAATGAAGAATCCTTTCTACGACTATAATGGAAAGCCTCACTTCCAATTCCTTTAAAAATTAAACTACCATCCTACGATAAATCTGTAAGCAAACTAAACTGTTATAAATGCATATTTAAGAATTCTAGAGTCTCTAACATATACTGACTTCTGGCTGATACGCAGAGAAGGGAGTAAGTAGATCACCTATGCATAAAGTCCTTGCTCTCATTTTTATTTCACAGCTTAGGGACTGATAGGGTATTTAAAGTTGAAAAATGCAAACCTGGCTAGGTTGTCTTCAGGGAGGCGATACATTCCAGTGGCTAGATCAGCCACTGTCAAAACTGTACCTGCTTTTTGTAATTTGTTTCATTCTAAGAAATACAACCATTCTTTGGATTGATAAGATGAAAAGGAGTTAGAAATATTTCATGCCTCCTGGATTTTGCTTTGAACATTGACATGTCCCTGTGTGGTGCTCATGGCAGCCATCATCCCAGTGAGGTCACAGGTGTAACCTATAGTGAACAGAAGCCTACGTTCTGATTTCATCAGCCTTTTAATTTTCTTTAAGTTTTATCAAAAGAGGCTCTCTAAACATAGCACCAACAAAGAAGAACAGCCAAGCACATCCAAGCAGCAATGCCAAATACTGAACCAAAAGAATGGCAAGGAAAGGTATCTTCTCATAGGCTTGTCTTTCCCGTGCAATTCCATGACTGTCAGGGATAGAGGTTGATGGTAGTGGATGCGACTGACAAAACCATGAACTGCACAGCCAAGCAATTGTCAGTGGAGGTCACAAGCCAGACACATGCAATGCACTTTTCACAATTACCCCCTTAGACAATACTCTCCTTTCCATAAGGAAAGAAGCAAACCCTGTCATGCACTAGGTTGAGATTTGTCAAGCAACTGCACTAAGCATGCTAATACTTTGCTGGTAAACAGACTTCTCACCAGTGAAAGAAAGAAAAGTAATGGAGGTCACACAGACACTCATTTAATCTTCAAAAGGTAATGCTGAGAACTTTTCAATGACCCATTTTCCTTGGCATTTGTAAGGATGGAAGTCAGGATATAAGAGTAATTATAAACAAGGGCATTCTACTAGACTCAAAGCCTGCTTACCTGTGCATCAATTATTTTCTGCTTTGCATCAATGACTGCTTGCATCTCAGCATGGTCCTTCTTCAGTTCCTCTTCCACAGCCATTAGCCTAGGACGTGGCAGGAAGGAGACATTTCAAAGAGAGGGCTAGCTAGAAACGAGAAACTGAAGACTCATTACATTTCAATAATTCCACTCCTTGCCAATAAAAGACCAGCAATCATCTTCTTTCTTCTCTCTGCCTTGGAAGAAGACATCCAAGGTTGATTTCTACCTGCACCTGGATCCCACGCATTTTCACCTCCTTTGGAAAGTCCCTCCATAAATATTGCCTCCCACTCCTCTGGCAGATCCCCTCCTCAGCATAACTTACTTCATCTTAAAACAGCAAACCAACCAACAGAAACCAGACAACTCTCTCTTTTTTTTTTTTTTTGAGTTGGAGTCTCACTCTGTCGCCCAGACTGGAGTGCAGTGGCTGCTCCTGGCCACCGCAGCCTCGACCTGCTGGGCTCTGGCGATCCTTTCGCCTCAGCCTTCCAAGTAGCTGGAACTACAGGCACGGGCTACTACACCTGGTTAATTTTTTGATTTATTGTAGAGATGAGGCAACCCTCTCTTAATCTCAGGTTATCCCAGAACCACTGCCCTATCTTTCTCTTCTCTTGTAGAGCTAAGTTTCTTCAAAGAATACTCCACACTTAGTTGGTCTAGTTTTCTTCTTGTCCACCATTCATATCTCAACCACCAGAGCTTAACTTTGAGACTCTAATAGTTCTCAGTAACACTGTCAATTAAACCCACACTAAAAAAAACCACAAAACTTTCTGTCATCCATTTACTTGGTTTGTCCACAGCATTTGACAACATTGAGGCATCATGGTTAATAGTGTGGAATCTAGAGTCTCAATGACTGGTTTCAAATTCTGGTGTACTACTATGTGACCTTGTACAAGTGACTTAATGAATCTGTTGCCTGCTTGCTTATTTGTAAAATGAGAATAATATAATGCCTATGTAGAGGGTGTGATAAAGATTAAACATATGAGTATTTATTATGTGCTTAGAAAAGTGCCACAACGAATGCCACATAAGTGTTTGGTAAAGTTGACCCCTTTCTTGTTTTCCTTTGGCCTCTATGGCACTCTCTCTCAGTCCTCTGGTCTTAAAGGTATCCAATATCTTTTTCAAGTTTCTGGACTTGTTCTGAAAGATTAAATTAGTTTTGGGCACTGAATACTTACTTTTTACAAACCTGGTTCTCCTCTAAGACTTCTCAAGTGAGTCACTAAGTTTTCATTTCTCCTAATTGCTATGGTTAGAGAAAAACAGACCACATTTATCTTTATAGGAAGTGCCCCTAGATCACATATTTAGGATATTTTAAGAGATACAGTCAGTTATCACATTTGTACAGAGTACCAGAGTCTACACGGGCATGAAAGTGCCTTTTGCAGTCAGTCCTTCAAGCTTCTTTGGTCCTCTCCCCACTTCCTTGTACCCCTGCCCAGCCCACATCTACCACCTGGCAGTCCTCTAACCTGCTGATGATGCTTTTCATCTGGCTGTCTTTCTCTTCCTGCTGCCTGCGCAGCCGCTCCTCACTGTCCTCCAGCCGAGCCTTGTACTCCAGCAGCAGCTTCTGCATCTGCTGTTCCTGTACCAGCAGCCGGCGCTCATATTCCTCCAGCCGCCGGCTGGACACCCGCAAGCGCTCCTTCAGTTTAGTGATTTCTTGTTCATACTAGAGCGGAGGAGACAGAGAGAGGAAACTAGAGCTTCTTTAGTGTTAGAAATGTGTGATTTCCTTTTTCACAAGATAAACCCTAGGCAGCGCAGGGAGAATCCATCCAAGTTGTCCCTATGCTGTGGCTGATGTTCTTGAAGATTCACAACCAGCATAAATGTGGATGGAGCTTTGTCCTCTTTCCTAAAATTACACTTTACATCTTGGCATTCCATGTACTTATGTATCTCTCTACACTAAGCTACCACTGCTGCAAACCACATCCAATCTGTGATGGCATGGAATGGGAGGAGGAAAAAACAGATGAAACTTACAAGGCTGACAAATCACGTATGCCAAAGCCAGGTGTCTACAACAAAAAACACTTTCAGTATCATCATCTGTGTTGTAGGATTTCTATCTTGGCTCATCAGACTGTTATTTCTTTGTTCTACTAGGATCAGTCCTTTAAGAGAATAAGCAACATTTCTATAATGTTAAGCCACTAAGTGAATACACAGAATTTTACAGCAGAAGTTATTGCAGTTTCCTCCCTAATTATAAAAGTACAAAAGATTCAGGTTGCAAGTACTAAACAAAGGCTTACATGTTCTCCAGAGCAAATTAATATTGACTCTTGGCCTATTTCCATGATGTGACTCAGTTGCCCAATTTGGTATAGCTGGCCGGAACATATATGTCTGTGTTCTCACCAAAAAACTTGACATAAATTCAGTAATTAATTAGTTACATGGTCTTTTCCTGTACTGTAGTTGCTGTGGGTCTGAGCACATAAGAGCATCAAATTCTTTCTTTTTTTTTTTTGAGTTGAAGTCTCACTCTGTCATCCAGACTGGAGTGCAGTGGCATGCTCCCAGACACTACAGCCTCGACCTGCTGAGCTCTGGCAATCCTTCCACCTCAGCCTTCCAAGTAGCCGGAACTACAGGTGTGCGCTAAGGAATATCAAATTCTCTAGGTGAAGTGAGAAGCCTAAACTTTCATTTTATTCCCTCCTAGCCTCAGGGAGTAAGAAAAAGCCTAAGTTATCTTATGGATGGTTTCCTTGTATTTATTAGTAATTAATAAGTCTATATGATGCTTTGCAAAATGCAATTTATTTAACATAATATTATTTCATTTAATTGACAACTAGACAACTAGCTACTGTTTACCCAACATCATGGTCTAAAACTATGCTTGTTATTCCAGAATGTCAAAGATGAGAGCTTTTAAGACAGTTTTGAGAGGTATACTACATTAATAAGCATAGTTAAAAGTGAATTGTCTTATTATAATTAAATATGATAATGCTATTCATGATGTCAAGGTTCTTGTTTGATAATCCCTTTTTCCCCATGTCAACTTAAAAAAATATTCAAAAATAAAGTCTTTTTAAGCTATTCAAGCTGGCTTGGTGGCTCAGCCTGCAATCCCGCGCTTTGGGAGGCTGAGGTGAGTGGACTGTCTGAGGCTGTGGGTTCGAGACCTGCCCGAGCAACTCAGCGAGACCTCATCTCTACAATAAATCAAAAAATTAGCTGGGTGTGGTAGCGCATGCCTGTAGTTCCAGCTACTTGGAAGGCTGAGGCAGAAGGATTGCTGGAGCCCAGCAGGTCGAGGCTGCGGTGGCCAGGAGCATGCCACTACACTCCAGTCTGGGTGACAGAGTCAGACTCCAACTCAAAAAAAAAAAAAAAAAAGCTATTCAAGACCAGGAGCGATGGTTCAAGCCTATAATTCCAGTACTTTGGGAGGCTGAGGCGAGAGAACTGCCTAGGACCAGGGGTTCGAGACCAGCCTGGGCAACTTGGCGAGACCTTGTCTCTGCAACAAATAAAAACAAGACAAGGATACCCACTCTCACCCCTTCTGTTCAATATAGTATTAGAAGTCCTGGCTAGAGCAATAAGAAAAGAGAAGGAGATCAGGTGTATCCAAATAGGAAAAGAGGAAATCAAGTTATCTCTCTTTGCAGACGACATGATTACATACCTTGAAAACCCAAGAGAATCTGTCAAAAACCTCCTTGCACTGATAAAGGACTTTGGCAAAGTCTCAGGGTATAAAATAAATGTGCAAAAGACAATTGCATTTCTTTACACCAATAATAAACAAACAGAAACCCAAATAAAAAGCACAATCCCATTCACAATAGCCACACACAAAAAAATGAAATACCTTGGCATCTTCCTAACCAGAGATGTGAAAGATCTTTACAATGAAAATTACAAAACACTGCTCAAAGAAATCAAAGATGACACAAACAAGTGGAAAAATATTCCATGCTCACGGATTGGAAGAATCAACATTGTGAAGATGTCCATCTTACCTAAGGCAATCTACAAATTTAATGCAATACCCATCAAATTACCAGTAACATTCTTCTCAGATCTAGAAAAAACAATACAGGAATTCATATGGAAACACAAACGACCAAGAATAGCCAGAACAATCCTCAGCAAAAAAAACAAAGCAGGAGGTATTACACTACCAGACTTTAAACTTTACTATAAAGCTACAATAATCAAAACAGCCTGGTATTGGTACAAGAACAGACATATACACCAATGGAATAGAATTGAGATTCCAGAAGCAAAACCTCAATGTCTCAACCAATTCATCTTTGACAAAGCCTCTACCACCCACCACTGGGTAGAGGAGAACCTATTCAGTAAATGATGCTGGGAAAACTGGCTGACCACATGCAGAAGATTGAAACAGGACCCCTATCTATCCCCATGCACAAAGGTTAACTCCAAATGGATCAGAGACCTAAATGTAAAACCTCAAACCATAAGAACCTTAGAAAAGGAAGGAAATACCCTCATGGAAATTGGAACTGGCATCCAATTCCTGAGCAAAACGGAGTGCCCAGGCCATAAGAGATAAGATAGACAAGTGGGACCTCATTAAACTGACAAGCTTCTGCAAAGCCAAAGAAACCATCAAGAGAGCAGGAAGACAATCCACAGACTGGGAAAAAGTATTTGCCAACTCCATGTCTGACAAAGGCCTAACATCAACAATCTACAAGGAACTCAAACATGCTGAAAAGAAAAAAACAAACAACCCCATTACAAAGTGGGCAAAAGATATGAACAGACACTTCTCAGAAGACACGAGTGGCCAACAGATACATAAAGAAATGTTCAACCTCACTAGTCATCAAGGAGATGCAAATTAAAACTACACTGAGATACCACCTAACTCCAGTCAGAATGGCCATTATCAATAACTTAAAAAATAACAGATGGTGGAGAGGATGTGGTGAATAGGGAATACTTCTACACTGTTGGTGGGAGTGTAAACTAGTACAGCCTCTGTGGAAATTAGTGTGACGATTCCTAAAAGCTCTAAAAATCAACCTTCCATATGACCCCGCAATCCCCCTATTGGGAGTATACCCTGAAGAACTCAAATCACTCTATAAAAAAGATACCTGCACACGTATGTTTACCGCAGCATTGTTCACAATAGCAAGATCATGGAACCAACCATGCTGTCCATCAAGAGGACTGGATTAAAAAAATGTGGTACATATACACAATGGGATATTACAAGCCATAAAAAAGAACAAAATCATGAATTTCGCAGCAACCTGGATGGAATTAGAGTTTATAATACTGAGTGATCTCTCACAGAAATAAAGATCTGAGCATCATATGTTCTCACTCGTAAGTGGACCTTGAACAACTACCATAATACTATAAGAAAAGGATTAACAGTGGCGGGAAACTATGATGGTGGGACAGGGAGGGGAAGGGAGGTGGGATTAACGGTAGGCAATATCTGCCTGGGGAAAGGGGGGCACACCTCCTCAACAAGGGTACCAGCACAATGAATATTTGTATACCTAGCCCTTAACTCCACAACTTTAAAATAAAAAATATATATCAAAAATAATAAATAAATAAATAAATAAATAAAAATTAGCTGGACGTGGTGGCATGCGCCTGTAGTTCCGGCTACTTGGAAGGTTGAGGTGGAAGGATAGCTGGAGCCCAGCAGATCGAGGCTGCAGTGGCCAGGAGCATGCCAATGCACTCCAGTATGGGCAACAGAGTGTGACTCCAACTCAAAAAAAAAAAAAAAAGAATTATGTATATAGCTAGGCATTCTTTATCCAGAAAAGGCAAAACACATAAACAACAAAAAAAACCACCCCCCAAAAAATTGTTACCAAATTAAAGTCTCACTCTACACTCATTTTTGTCCTTGAGAAAGACTCAATCAGTTTACAGAAACACTACATATTTACCTACAATGACTAGAAATGAACAGCAGAGTACCTTCTAGATTAACATCTACATAAATAAATTATGGCTAACTTCCCACCAGCAAGATGGACATTTTCCACATATAATCTCACACACACACACACACACACACACAGGCCTATTTTACACTGACATGTACATGATGGTTAGCATATGAGTTGGAGGTGAAGATGGGGTGGGGGGAGACTGTGTTCTTAGCTGTATAACCCTTTAGTGGTCTATCGCTTTGGGGGTCATACGTCCATAAAGTCTGCCTAGGTTCTACCTTCTCAGCGTGCTTGGTGTCATCTGGGTGTTGCTCAGTTTCTTCCACATCCTCTTCATATTGCCCATTGTTCAGAACCCAGGCTGCTGTCCTCTCCACTGGGGACATGGTGGCAGAGTCCACAGGTGACTGAACCTGCATCAGAAATAGCTGTTAGCATTTTCCAAAATAGATCACCCACTCGTTATGATTCTCAAAGAGAGCTATTCTTGGAAGACATAACTGTGATCTCTCAGTTTTCTAACAAATGGTCTCTGCTTTAAGTAATATTTTATTAATGACAAGGCTGGGTGGTGAAAGAGAACACAATTTGCATAAGCATAAACTATTCTGAATAAAAATCTGTATACATCACATCCAAGAACCATCCTTTTTCTCCCTCTAAAGAAAACCAAGGCCTAAAAATTGTTAATTTGCCTAGAGGTCCAAATGCTGGTTGGTATCAAATTACCTACTAAAATTAAAATAAAGTTTAAAAAATTTAAAAAAATAAGATGATGACAGAATGAGAAAAAGAAAACATAATTTGATGGATGAAACATATGTTTAATCCAGAGATGATCAGAAACAAAAAAAGTGATTACTGCTAAACAAACTCGCAAGGTGTCCATTTATATATCAGAATGCCAGATACCTAGTTTTCATATGAATCATTTAGAGAAAGATAAGGGAAAGTGATATTGGTTATCTTTGCAGAAGACACACTGACTTCTTGATGGGTTCAGACTGCTCAGGAGTCCATATTTTGGATCCTAAAGTTTCTTGAATATAAGATCAAAACAATGAACACTGGATAGTCTACCCACATTAGGGCAGTTAGATAAACTGTCCTTTTCCAATACAGACGTACAGTGTTAAGAATTCTGGTCTTGAATTGCAACTGTGTAACTTAATAAAAATCACTTTATCTCTTAAGTACTATTTTCCTAATATACTGAATAGGGACATTACCACCATCACCACTACCTATCCAGACTATCACATAGGAAGCCATGAGGATTAAATAAGATAATGCATGTGAACGTTCCTGGGAACTTTCAGAGTGCTGGAAAGAGATTAGATGTCGGTCACTACTATATGTTTCAAAAAGAGGCAATGGATATTATAGTTCATATTAGGCTACTGAACATCAGTGCTTTCTTCATAAACAATGGTGAAAATACACAACACATTATTCCCCCCCTGTCTTCGGGTGGGGGGGTGGTAGTGGAGGGAGGAGCAAGAGAAGGAAGAAAATTTGTTATGTGAGTTTGGCTTTTATGATTAAAATGGGTGGATTTGTATTTTGAGGACCAATACTCCATAATTTCAAAATTAAAGGGAATTTTTCTCTCCCATGCAGAGATATCTTTTTAAGATACCTTAAGAATCTTTATATTACCCTGGAATAGAACACAGTTAAACTTTAAATATATATTTTAAAATAAGGAGTATTTTTGATGACCTTGAGCGAGTTATAAAGACTAGATTTTAGAAAATGGTTGCAGAGACTATAAAAGATTATCAGACATGTGCTGGGAGAGACTTTAAAATTTATATATGCAAAAGTAATATAAAGGTATTTCTGAAAAGTCTGAAGAATAACCTGGTTTAGCTGATTTACAGATTATAGATATATTTAAATAAAAATGGCTTCATGCTTCAGGATGGATGTGTGGAGTTTATAACAATAGACACACACACATGCACACAATCAATTGTGAATGAACTTTTAGAAATTTCTTCTATAAAGCCATTTTCACGACTGGATCAAGAAACAAGTAAACACATCTTAAACTTCAGCAACCCTTATTAAAAGTCTATCTCTATTTTCACCATGGTATGCAGGTATGTTTCTTATACTTTATTTTTGTATTACTTTCATTATTTTTGCCACATCCATCTTATCACTGATATATTTACTAACTTTTAAAACAATCTTTTTAAGTTATCTAAGCCTTTGTGCTAAGCAGTATCAGTAAAATCATGAGTTTGCTATGTTTGTATATTTTTATATTAATAGCTATACATTTTACATATATTCTTCTAATTATTAAAATATTACATGAGTAATTAAATAAATATTCTCTATACACTTAAATAATTTTGACTATCATACTCTTGGAACTATTGACCTATAGGATATAGTATTACCTATTAAAGGAAGATAACTATACACATCAAATGTTCTAAGAAAAAAATGAGATCACATGAAAGTACTCTGTAAACTGCAAAGGTCTTTATACACACTACAGTTCTCCCCCTACTGGACTTCAGGAGCAGAGCATAATAAATTGCTTTTGTACTGGTAAAGAAAAATAGCACCAAGGGGTTTAGGTTTTTACTTGATATATTTGTATCTGGAAGGCAAATTAATATACCAGTGAGTCTTTTTTTTTTTTTTTTTTTTTTTGAGTTGGAGTCTCACTCTGTCACCCAGACTGGAGTGCAGTGGCCGCTCCTGGCCACTACGGCCTCGACCTGCTGGGCTCCAGCGATCCTTCCGCCTCAGCCTTCCGAGTAGCCGGAATTACAGGCGTGCACTACCACGCCCGGCTGATATTTTGATTTATTGTAGAGATGAGGTCTCGCTGCCCAGGCGGATCTCGAACCCGCGGGCTCAGGCAATCCACTCACCTCAGCCTCCCAAAGGCGCGGGATTACAGGCTGAGCCACCGAGCCCGGCTACCAGTGAGTCTTTAAAAATTAATAGAAAGTCAATAATTAAAGGAGACAAATGCCTTTTTTTAGTTTGATACTCTTATCACATTAGCACAGAGGGTGGGGCAGCTGCTTTATTGTTAAACCAGGATTTTTCCATTCAGTAGTTACTAAAACTAATAACGACTTTACTATTTGAAATGTATTACTTCAAGGCAGCTAATTCACTAGTGTTCTGGTTTATACAGGTAACAAGATGTTGTTTGAATAAACTTTCTGTTCCTGTGACTTGTGATGGGTACTATTTACCAAGTGCTAATAAATGTACTGCAAACTAATGGTATTCCTATGAACACATGAAGAAGAGATCTTAACTCCTAAAAGCATATCAAACAACAACAATAAAAGACACCTTGGTATAATCTAGGCTTTATTAAGTGAGAAGCTGTAAAAACAAGGGTTGGTTTATTCCACTGGTGATGGTGGAACAGTATCTTCAGAAGGACTAATAAAATAGCCAGTGAATTACAAGAAACTATACAATGGGAACTGGGCATTGTGAATCTATTCCTATTTTACTGGTTGAATCTTATTTTCAGCCACTTCCTAATATATCTTAGCACTTTGTCTGGCATACAGTAGGCGATCAAAATGACAAAATAAATACAACTGACAGATCAATCCTAACTTATTCCTTCTATATGTGATAAAGCATTTATAAAATTAGAAAATAATATTGAATAAAAATGTAGTTATTGTGCTAGACTGGAAGAAAAGAGGTCATTTTTGTTTCAAAAGTATTTTTTGTTGTAATATGTTCTTCATATGAAAAAACTGTCTTTTATTTATTTATTTGGTCTTATGTGTGCTGGTCTTATTTCCCAATTAGATTGCCAGTCTAATGATATCATATCCTGCCTTAAATGATGGTAAGTAGTTAAACGCCAAAAGATGCTCAATAAAACATTATTCATTTATTATTCTGGCTTCTCTTTAGAATTCACTACTAAAATATAATTTATTACTAATAAAAGAATATTCTATGCGTTTATTCTAATCTTCTGGAAGTGCATCAAAGTCTTTTTTTCCCATGACTTCTCGATCTCCTTTATAAGCTGGGTAAAAATTATTATAGCAAAAATTATTATCTCTTGTTTACAATAAAAAAATTGAAGAAAAAGACTAGCAAGTGGTTCAGATTCCATCTTCCTTAACAACAGCCTTAGGAAGACAATTTATATTCACTGACTTTTAACAGGATCATCAAAAGACAAAAACAAAAAAAAGGAGTAGGAATTCCCATCAGGAATATCTTCCTTCTGAGATAAAGCTATATATAGGGTTTTCCTGGAAGAAAAAAAACGCTTTAGGGCAAAAGATCTGATACAGCAGTTTCACTGATACTACAATTAGTCATAGCCTATGCTGAGAACAGGCCAGTTCTCTGTTTCTTGCTAATATTTACTAGATAGAAACTAGATTTGTTGGCTTCATCTTCTTCATAGTCTGAAATAGTCAGGTTCCCATAAATAAATAACACTTCCATCAACACCAAATAAAGGGCTGAGTAAATTTATAAGAGTTCTTCAAAAGATTGGTTAGGAGAAGTTTCAACAAATCCAAATGGGAAAACTGCAGTATCATACTGACAGGCCTGTTAAGTACCTAGTTTATAGATTTGAGGGGTTCATATACAGGTTTGTTACCTGGGTATACTGAGGGTGAGGTTTAGACTTGTATGAGCCTGTCACCCAAGTGGTGAAGTGCATGGTACCCAATGGATAGTTTTTCAACCAATACTGCTCTTCATTACTCCTCACTTTAGGAGTGCCCTGCATCTGTTGTTCCCGTCCTTATGCCTGTGTGTACCCAGTATTTAGCTCCTACGTAACTATTTTATTTTATTTTGAGTCTGGAGTGCAGTGGCACGATCACAGTCACAGCAGCCTTGACCTGCTGGGCTCAGGCAGTCCTTCTCCCTTAGCCTTCCAAGTAGCTAGGACTACAGGCATGTGCCAACATGACTGGCTGATTTTTTGGTTTATTGTAGAGATAAGTTTGCTCCATGTTGCCCAGACTGGTCTCAAAATCCTGGGCTCAGGCAATTCTCTTGCCTTGGCCTCCCAAAGTGCTGGGATTATAGGCGTGAGCCACCACACCCAGCAACTATATATTTGAAAAGGCCTCTTCAAATTTGAATTTCTAAGGTTAGGAAGCATGCTCAAACTAAATGACTCATATACTGTAAATATATAAACTCTATATTTGCACAAAGTACACGATATATAAAAAACAAAATAGAAAATGAGAAAAAAGAAATTCAAATAGAGGCCCAAAGGGGTAAAAAATTAAGACAGTTTCCTGAAAAAAACCTTTTTTCTCTGTAAGTTGTTTCACTAGGATTATATTTCCTTCCTACTCATTAGATGGAGAAGACTGAATTTAAGCCGGGTTTGGTGGCTCAGCCTATAATCCTGCGCTTTGGGAGGCTGAGGTGAGTGGATTGCCTGAGCCCGCCAGTTCGAGATCCGCCTGGGTAACTTGGCAAGACCTCATCTCTACAATAAATCAAAAATTAGCCGGGTGTGGTAGCGCGTGCCTGTAGTTCCAGCTACTTGGAAGGCTGAGGTGGAAGGATCGTTGGAGCCCAGCAGGTCGAGGCTGCAGTGGCCGAGAGCGGTCACTGTACTCCAGTCTGGGCAACAGAGTAAGACTCCAACTCAAAAAAAAAAAAAAAGACTGAAGTTAGTTGCACTGCCAACAATGGTTGCTCCTTTGTGCTAAGATACAAATGGAATTTGCATGGGACAAAGCCACTGATAATTACAGCTGCCTACAGAACAATCCCCACAAAGAAATCTTCCAGTTTTGGGGAGAGAAGAATTCCCCAACACAATTTGCAATTAAAATATGTAAAGGAATTTGCCTTAAAAATGTGCTGATTATATAGAACTTCAGAGGCTCCAGGGGAGTGAGATGTAAGAAACGGAAGATACGGAATAAAAAAACAAACAACATAAGTTAAAAAGAATGAGCCATCTGGGTAGAAAGAGCCAGTGTAGAAAAAACAGAAATTTGAACAATCAAAATAAAGCAATTTATGCTTCAACTGATATGATGATGGCAGTATCAGCAAAGACATAAATAAAGATGAATATTCAAAGTGTGTCCCACTACATGCCAATATAATACTGATATTTCCTGACTCATTAACAGTGGTTGCTGAAAAATTAATTTTTAAATTGGTTGTTTGGGGACAGTATGCATTTTTCAGCTCCCATCCATCCAGGCAGCCTTCTCATTCATAAGCCACAGAAATGTGTACTGTGAGCTTATGTGATAGGTATTATATTTTCCTACAAATAAAATGTTAGACATGACCATTGTTTCCAGATGAGTACATACAAAGTTATCTAATTTACATTTATAAACAGTCAGCCTGAGTCATGGGTCCTGGGAATTGAGCACTAGATGATATAAGAGGAATCAGTAAGTTTAAGAAAATTTTTATTTTCCTTTTCTGTACAGGACTGGTCCTAAGTAAACTTTTGATAAGTAGGAAGAGGGCCCTTTCTCTGTTCTGTCCCTCTCTGCCGATCTGATGTCCTCTACTTCCTACCCTCATGTTGCCCTGAGCCTTTCAGTCGAGTTTTATTTACTTCCATACAGTACTCGATCCCTAAAATTACTTATATTCCCTTTCTCTTCCCCCAAATACTTTAATTCTCTGAAAGTAGTTGATTTCAACTAGAAGCTAGCACAAAAGTAATGTGAGAAAACTAATTCATGATAAGGTGTAAATGAAGGATAGCTTCCTAACACACACAAATTTTATGTTTATATTTATATATAAAAGATACATATTCCTTTTCTTTAAATAAAATACTTATTAAATCAAATGAATTGGTATAATTTTGGAAAATGTAACAAAATAAAAATGAAAAATTTAAGATTGAAGAACAACTTTATTTCTCAGGAAAGGATGGCCAACTAAGCGGTTTAGCCTAGGGAGTCTGCTCCCAGAGTCTGCTTAAGTCAGTCATGCCTTTTATCCCTTCTTCTACTTTTGTATCCGAGGATTCATAAATATTCCAAGTTTTTTAAAACATTAACTGTTAGATAATTAGAAGTAAGGAGCTCTGATTGTAGCTGCAGACTGGAGGCAGAAGCAGCCAAATCAGTAAATGCCTACCTGGAAAAATGCCAAGATATTAAAGAAATACACTGGTATTTTACTGCAGTCTTGTGGCATAAAAGGCTTAATAAAAAAAAAAAACTCAACAAATACAAAGCTTTTTAGGAGAAAAATCTTTTTAGATGAAACATACACACACAGACACACAGACACACACACACACACACACACACACACACACACACACACACACACATGATTATTGGTTTGCTTCAAAGGGCAAAATATTAATTGGTGCCTCCCAATGTAATATGTAAGGATGAAATGATTAAATTCTTGGCAAACATTTTATTTGTCAAGAAGAAAGTTTAGAAATCTTTTCATATTAGACTGGATGTGACACTAGCAGGGCTTGTCCATATAAACAGAAATACAAGGGGTTTGCAAATGTTTAGAAAACTTGTCAATCACCTGTATTTCTACCATTCTGCCCTCTGTTTTACCTAGGTGTTCAACTGTTTATTTTTCTAGCCATTTCTAGGAAAAGGCACATGGGACTTGGTATTTCCAGAGGGAGCTGGGGGTAGAGTGGGGCAGTCACATTAAACTCTTGATTCAGAATGTAAAACTTTATTCCGGAAGCTTAAAAAAATATTAAGAAGGATTAATTTCCAGATTCCCAATATATATCCATGAGGCTCTGGTTTGGCCTACAGAATTTTTTTTTTTTTTTTTGAGTTGGAGTCTCACTCTGTCGCCCAGACTGGAGTGCAGTAGCCCGCAGCTTCGACCTGCTGGGCTCCGGCGATCCTTCCGCCTCAGCCTTCCGAATAGCCGGAATTACAGGCGCGCGCTACCATGCTTGGCTCATTTTTGATTTATTGTAGAGATGAGGTCTCCCTGCCCAGGTAGGTCTCGAACCCGCAGGCTCAGGCAATCCACTCACCTCAGCCTCCCAAAGGCGCGGGATTACAGGCTGAGCCACCGAGCCCGGCTGGTCTACAGATTTTAAGTATCTAATTATTCATTCAATATCACAGGTTTATTGCAAGTGCAAACCAGGGTAGCAGTTGCTGTGCTGCTGGAAGAGAAGAAAAAGCCCCTGCATACTGGTTAGAATCTCCTAAGGGGTAATGAGTCAAACTAGCCCTGTAGTCTCACCCAAGCTTTTCTGCTTCCTCTTTTCAATTAAAGGTTGCTTTTAAGCAGAAACCTTGTTAGCAACTGGATCTCCCAATGATTTATGTAAAAAGAACGAAAGAAACACGGATCAAGTAAAAGGCAGACCTCTCCAGTACTCACTCCTACCTGCTGTGTCTGTTGTCTCTGGATGGCTCTCACTTTGGGAACAGGGCTCTCTCTGGAGGAAGAGGACTGCTGCCGGGACCGGCTCCCATTCTGCACAGGTTCGGCCACCAGGGCTGCAGATGCTACCGACATGCTCCCGGTGCTACGCAGGGAAGCACTGTGAGGCAGGGATGGTGGGGCTTTGGCTCGGGCACCTAACCCAGCCTGGTCCATTTTTCGGATTTGTGCCTGCCCAGTACTATTTTGCCGTGGCAGAGCAAGAGGTATATGTCTGTCTGGCACAGTGTGCCGTCTGGAGAAATCCTCACTCTGAGTGCTACGTTTGGTGAAATCTTCCATGCTGCTATTGCTGGGTCCACTGAGTTTGAAATCTTCACTGTTACTTTGGCTTCTGGAACTGGCAGTGCTTAGGTTCTCCAAACTGGAATCTACAGAGGCCTTTGGCATTGCTGGAATCGGGTTATTGAGGTGATAGACAGGATTCTGGAATGACAAGGGCTGAAGGCTGCCTGGCTGGTTCAAGGCTGGGTGCAGGGGCCTTCTAACTTGGGGTGCACTCTGGGGAGTGCACTGGGTTTCCCGCAGTTGTTTGATGCTGGCCACCTGGGTAATGGAAAGTTGGCTTCCGGCCAAGCGCATAGGCACATCAAGCATGACAGAGGCATGCTCCATCTGAGCAGCATGAGTGTCCTGGAGGTCCATGAGGGAGATACTCCGACCATTAGGAAGGCTGCTTTCCTTTTCATCCTTTTCAGAGTAAGTCATGCTCTGGGAAGAGGCTTGCTGAACCAGCAATAATGTCTTCCCTCTGAAATAGCTGTCTGTGTTGTCCTGGCTTGGAGATTTTAGTTTATGCAAATCACTGTGGAAAGGAAAGGATACTTAATTTCTCTTGAGTTAAATTCAGTATCAAGCTTCCTTAATTCAGGCATATGAACTCTTCTGAAGGTTCCTATGTGGATATTTACATTTCTTTATAAACTCAGATTTCATCATTACAATTCTTAGAATAAAATGTAGCCTTTGTAGTTTTTCCCTAAAGGTAGAGAATAACACTATGTAACCCTGTCACTGTCTTCAGTTTTAACCAGAATTTCAATAATTTCCTAGTTAGGTTTTAGACCTTCCCATGGTATTCCAAGTCACACTTAACTGGTTCTGTGTAGACCTTCAAGAGGTAAGAGGCTATAAATAAACAACCAAAGAGTTCCTGCTAAAGGTACAAATTTTGCCAATCTAGAAAACAAAATCTAGGCATCAACACTGTATCTGCCTGTCCAGCTGACATAGCCAGAAATAAAATGGTTCTAACTGGCCAGGCTTGGGGGCTCAGCCTGTAATCCCAGCACTTTGGGAGGCCAAGGTGAGTGGATTGCCTGAGCCCATGGGTTCAAGACCAGTCCCGGCAACTTGGTGAGACCTCGTCTCTACAATAAATAAAAAATTAGCCAGGCGTAGTAGCGTGCACCTGTAGTGATGGAAGGCTGAGATGGAAGGATTGCTGGAGCCCAGCAGGTCAACGCTGGGTTGGCTGTAAGTATGCCACGGCATGCCAGCCAGAGCAATGGAGTGAGACTCCAACTCAGGGGGAAAAAAGGTTCTAACTTAGGTTCTCCAGCATTTTGAATGAGGAAAAGTCTCTAGTTTTCCATTAAGTGAGACATAAATTTACATATGTTTGCTGAATATATTATATCTTTATACTATCATTTTAGAAAACATTATCCCAGATCTTGTACATTATTAAACAAATAGATTTTTTTCAGGTCAGATGAGTCTTTTCAATGGCTCAAGACTTTAAACTTGTAAATTCAACAAATCAAGTTAAAGATACTTCTGCCAAATCTAAACATTCTCTCTCTGAGTTAGCAGTTCAAACTCTCTCTTTCATACCTGTCAGTGGGGTCTTCAAATATTTTCTGCAGCCCAGAGGAGAGGCTTCCACTGACATTTGGACTGGAGTTATGCTCAGTGAACCGTCTCAGTTGCTGTTGTATTGGTGTAGGATTAGTCAGAGACTTGGTGATATCAGCAAGAACACGAGGGAGAGGCCCCAACTTTGCCACAGTTGCCTGTAGGAAGGAATTTTCACCCTAGTTGGATAATAAGCATTGCGACATCCACCACAGATTGTTTGGGGACGATGCCCATTGATGGAGGGGTGTAGGGAAGGGTAGGTGTTTGCATATGGGAGTGGCAGGTTCATAATGCATTGTTATGGAGCAGCAGAACCATGGCGTCGAGATGAATGGAGGAGGCGAAACAAGGTGCGGCAGACATCAAGGAAAGAAAGGAAATAGAAATTAGGATTATGCAAATAAAAATTAAAAGACATGCTCAAAACAACCGAACTATTGCCATTCCAACTAAAATTGGCATGCAAAGCAAACTAAGTCTTTGGGAGGCTAGGGGATCAATGTGGAGGGGGTAGGTGAAGAACCAAACACCTTCTAACCAAAAAGAACTTCAAGACCAGAGGAACAGCTAGTGTGATGAAACTTCCAAAGAAAAGGGATCACGTGAGAAAAGAAATGCATGCCAACATACAGGAGGGTGATGCATTCAGGAATCCAGAGCACTGCAGGGCACACAATGATATTGCCATTCACCATCCCAGTCAATCTTGGGAACCCTGGCCCATTGCCAATTGAGTTTCCAACAGGCAAACTCTCTCTATGAGATATGGCAGGACCAAACAGATTAAAAAAGGAGAAGGTGTGTTTATACAGCAAAGCCTGTTAAAAAGACCTTGATCCTGAATAAAACAGGCCTACTTCACAAGGTAACTGTATCTGCATTCCATTGTTACAGTTATTCAACAAAAATAATCCTTTAGTATTTGCTTTATCCATCTCATTTTTCTTTAGAGAATTCTTATTCTCATGGGGTCTTACAGATCCCCTCAGCTGTTACGCAGGATTACATGGCTGTCTTTGGATATTCTTTGTCTTCTCAATAATCAATAGACTTTTCTACCCTATTCGAATGGGTACAAATGCCATGAGACAAATGCTCAGCAATGTTGAGCCATGATTCATATCAAAAGCATGTATCCTTAGCATAGCTGCAACTTAAAATCTAGACTAGCATTTCTAAAACTGAAGGGGAGGTACTCAAGAATAAGGAATAGTTTATTGTTTTACAAATGTCTTAAGCACTGGCAGACACTACCATTTATATCTCCTCAGGAAAGTGGTCTTTGTTAACAGGTTTTATTTCCTCCCAAATTTTATTGGTACAGAATTTTTACAGAAGAAAACAAATAAACAAATCCTACAGAAAAATAACTTTGTCTTTTGAAGTTATTCTAACATACCACCACACAAATTTATAAAGTACCTGTAGCAAATAAAAACATCAATAAATAATTATTGTGATAAAATTAGCCAAAGTCTAGCTATTTTCTACTACAGAATCTATTTCTTTTTGCAAAATTCCAGAAGAAAGAAAATGACTGGCATTGTTATACATTTATTTACTAATATGGCATATAATCGAATTCTTAGTTTATAGTCAGAAAACAAATGATTAAAAACTAATTGTTTTCTATATTCCTAATTCATATTTGTAGAGAAAGAAGATAGAAATTTCAGATCCCATGTGACTCTTAGCACTGATAATTATATGAAACTCTCTGACTTGTATAGTAAAAAAAATTCTTTTCATGGGCAAAGTTGCTAAAACACAATAAATTCATTATTTTCCTAAGCCTGCACTTTTGTTAGAAATTACTCTATGAGGTTTCATTTCATCCTATTATACCAAGCATAAGACTGCATAGATAATATTAGTTTCTAGGCAAGTTTTAGATATGTACTATATATATATACATTTATAGAAATATGCTCTATTAATTCTCGTAATTATTTAAAAATATATACTAATAATTTCATGGCTTTCTAGAATTTCATGGTTGTATATAACATATTTTACTCAGAAATAATAACCATTTACTCCTAGACTTCTAGGACCAAAGGTTGCTTTCAATAAGCAGAAAGGGTAAGTGCTATTAATATTTCTGTAGATACTCTCCAGCATCCAGGTATACTGAAGTTCTCTGCCACCAATCAGCCTACTTTACCTTATCAAGTTGGGAAACTACTTCCCACAGTAAGGAATGCAAAACTGAAAGCTCTCGGCCAAGATCGATGTAACCATCAAAACCTGGGGTGTTTGAGATGGTGTCTGGATTAGAGATCTCCAAAAGAAAGCGCTTCATTCCACCCCATTCATGTTCCAAAAAGTCATTCATGAATGCCATGTATTCCTCTTTGTTACCAAACCTGAGTAGAGGATGAGAAAAATGAGAGAGAACATATTCAAGAAAAGAATATGATCACTTTGAGTGACTTTACACAGCTGTAACTTTTTTATTTTGTGGAGGCAAGATTAAGGTTGTTTATCTGTAAGTGGTAAATGCTAAAACGTACTTTCTTAATATCACTTTAATACTCCAACATCTTGTTCTCTATAGGGTAAAGCCCCAACTTCTTTTATCTGGTATTTAAGCCTCTGTGTAATAATATAGCCCCCACTTATCTACCAGATACTCACCAGTACAAACCTTCAATATTGCTGTTTCTTCAAAATCTCCCAAATATATTATACCCCTTAAATATTAAATAGCCTTTGCTCATGCTATTTATTTCCACTAGAGAAAAACTTCTCTGCCTATCTAGAGTCTAGCTATAGTTTAAGTGCATAAAACTGGTTCCAAAGCAAACTAGAATTTTTTTTTAAACAGAATTAACTCAAATATGGGTAAATATGGTGGGAGGCAGGGGGAACTCAAAAAACCTGGAATTATTTTTTGGAGGGCAGTTCCCCTGTAGTACAGGCTTCTCCTGCTAGATAAGTGTTCTAGGAATACATTGACATCTGTGCACCAGCTAGTGTTGTGAGAGGCTGCATTGTTCTCAGTGAATTTTTCTGGAGACTGTTTCAATGCATTTGCCCATTTCCTGATGGGTGATTTACGAGCATTATCTTCCCACACCGCCCTGAGTGTTCAGTCGTTTTTGACCAACAATAGCATGACCCTGAGCCCCACACTCCCCTATTTACCCAATCTCACCCTGAGTGACTTTTTTTGGTTTCCCCAGATGAAAAAAAGTCCTCAAGGGAAAAACGTTTGGCTGATGTGCAAGAGGTGAAACAAAATGGCAGAAGCACTAAAAGGCATCAAAACTGATGAGTTCAGAACTATTTTGAGCAGTGGGAAAAGCAGCTTAATAGGTATGGTGCATGAAACAGAGAGTACTTTGAAGGTGACTGAAGTTTAAACACATCGGAATAAATATACAAGACAGAAGCCGTGGCTCATGCCTGTAATCCCAGTACTTTGGGAGGTGGAGGCAAAAGGAGTGCCTGAGCTCAGGGGTTTGAGACCAGCCTGAGCAACATGGCGAGACCTCATCTCTACAATCAATAAAAAAAATCAGCTAGGCATGGTGGCACATGCCTGTGGTTCCAGTTACTCGGAAAGCTGAGGCAGAAGGATCACCTAGGCCCAGCAAGTCGAGGCTGTGGTATCTGTAAAGCAAGCCACTGCATTCCAGTCTGGGTGAAACAGCGAGACGCCAACTCAAAAAAAAAAGAATACACAATTTTTTAGTAAATAAATTCAAGTTTTTTGGGTTCCTCTTTCATATGTATAAGTTAACACACATCTAAAAAGACACTGTTTATACCAGAAAACAATCTGTTTTACTGAAGTTGTAATTTTTTCATCAATACATTGCCAATAGAAACTTGTCTTTAAGCCTCAACATTGAGTAAATCTGTGATCAATTTTACAAATGTGAATTTCTTCTCAGTCATCTCTTAAAAATTATTTTCTATAAATTATAAAAATAATGCAAACTCACTGAATAATAGTTTCAAACAATGAAAAGTAGAAAGAAAAAAAGTGCGGCTGTCACACTCAAACTACCCAACATGTCTGCTATTTATATTTGAGTGCATTTCTTCCCTAACTGGTTTTTCTTCTTTCTTTTGAAAAATTTTAGTCCTACAGAAAAGTTGAAAGAATATACAATGAACACCCACATGCTTTTCATCTACATTAACCACTTGTTAAAACTTTGCCAAGTTAGCTTTTACTGTCCTCTCTCTCTCTCTCCCTCTCTCCCTCTCTTTCTCTCTCTCTCTACACACATACTTTTCTGAGTCATTTCAAACTAAGTTGCAGGCATCACTTTAAATACTTTAGCATCATTTTTTCAGAATAAGGAATGTGTCTTACATAAACCAGTGCCATTATCACATTAAAACTTTTTAAAACATTATTCATAAATAATTTTATATACAGTCTATATTTAAATTTCATTCACTGTCCCCAAAATAACTTCTAGAGATTTTGTTTTTACGATTTAAGATCCACATAAACTTCTAGTATTACATTTAGCATCTTTTAATCTAGAACAGTTCCTTCCATCTTCTGCTTCTATAAAACTGTCTTTTTTGAAGCGGTCAGGCCAATTTTTTTTAGATAATGTAACTACAGAATTTGTCTGATTATCTTTCTGTTTTATACTTAGATTTTTGCATTTTCATATTGTTGAGATAATAGCATATACATCATTTTGTATAATGTCCTTTTTTGACTAAAGTATCTTTAGTCAAAGCACTTTTCATTTAATGTAATTTTATCTTCATCACATTTGATATTACTGGATATTCTTTGTAAACACTGTTTGGAGTGACTGCAAATATTCTACTGAATGCAGGTATCATAGGTTGCTTAACTACTGCTATATAAAGTGATCAAATTGTTTTCAATGTCTTACTATTTTATTCATTCATTTGTTTGTTTATTTATGAAACAAGATCTCACTGCCTCCCAGGATGGAGTGCAATGGAACAATCACAGCTTACTGCAGACTCAAACTTCTGGTCTCAAGTGATCCTCCTGCCTCAGCCTCCTGAGCAGCTGAGACTACAGGTGTGCACCACCACGCCCAGGTCATTTTTCTGTTTTTTTGCAGAGACAAGATCCTGTTATGTTACCCAGGCAGGTCTTGAATCCCTGGCCTCAAGCAATCCTTCTGCCTTGGCCTTCCAAAGTGCTGGGATCACAGGGGAGCCACCATGCCTGGATTTTACTGTAATTTTTGTTAACACCACAGTGAAGATCTGGTAAGATGAGTGATGAAACTTCCTATTCTCAACCAAACTTTAGGCCTCACGTATTTTTTTATACAATTTTTTTTGAGAAAGCAGGATCTATTAAGAGGACAGAAAAGTTTGAGAGTGGGAGGGAATCTAAGGCGTTTGCCCTATACAACGTGTTTTTAAAGTGGTTATGATAGCATCACATACTTGGCAAAGTTGGCCAGGTTCTGAATGACCTTGGCAATAAGAGTTAGCGTCCGAGATGTGCGGTCATCAGGATACTCCTGCATCAGGTTGAAAAGACTGGGAGACATGATGGCTGGGCATAGAAAACGGAGAAACAACGAGGCACTAATGAGCCTCTCGCTGATGTCTTGCTTGCCGCGGTTCAGGCACTGCTGCTTCCATGATGCAAACACTTCTTTCAACTCACGAGGAAAAACACTACAGAAGGAAAAAAATACCAAAACCTCTTAGTATAAAAGTACCAGAACCCAAAGCACAAGTGACCCACTCTGACCCAACATGGCTCTGCTCTGTGAGGAGGACCTAATAGACATTCAGGAATGAGGCACTACCTGATTCACGGCTGAGAGGCGGTGGAAAATTTGCAGAGGGCCAGATGGAGACTGGAAACTCAAGGCTACAAAACTCTGGATCAGTTTAAATTTAGTTTTGCAAAGTGAGAAAATGGCATGAGGCTTCTGACTAACCATCTGGTTTAATATAGCTCGCCATAATCTCTCTAAAGACTGTTCATCAGAAGTCTTCAAAAACCTCACCAATTACTGGGGTTAGAACAATGATCAAAGTCCATAAACACATCAGTTCAATATCAGAAAATATTTTAGTTTTAGTTTTATATTTGTGTCAGATTCTCACTCTGTCGCCCAGGCTGCAGTGCAGTGGCAAAGTCACAGCTTACCGCAGTCTTGACCTCCCGGGTTTAGGTTAGCCTTCCTCCTCAGCCTCTCGAATATCTGGGCCTACAGGCACATGCCATCACGTCTGGCTAATTTTCTTTCTTTCTTTTTGAGGAGACTAGGTCTTATTATATTGCCCAGACTGGTCTTGAACTCCTGGACTCAAGCAGTCGTCCTACCTTGGTCTCTCAAAGTGCTGGGATTACTGGTGTGAGCCACTCTACCCGTCCCAATACCAGTAAATATTTACACCAGTAAATATTTTAGAAAGAAAAACAAAACAAACAAAAAAACACCTTTTTGTATTAGAAGTTGAAGTACAAATATTCTGGGGAAAAAATTAGATTTGCATAGATAGCCAGTTCAGAAGAAGTACTTCTGCTAACAATGGAGATTTTGATTTTAGAATTTTTCCCCTAAGTCTTTCTTTTGGATATGAAATAACAATGAACATTGTGATGGCTTTTATATGGAAAAATGTAAGTTCCATAAGCAAAGAGGGAGGGACACTCACCAGTAAGAGTTGATAATCTTGCAGAAAGCCAGCTCACAGCACATCTTCAGGTTGCTCTGATGGTCTATCAGTTCACTAGATGAACATTTGCTGGGATCCACTTCACAGTTCTCATCTGACTCATACAAAGCTTTGATGAACTCTCCTATTTGAAGAGGGAAGATGACAGGCAGAATAACTATAAATAGTGCCTTCCTGAATAGAATAAAAGGACTTGGGATTTCTGTCCTAAAATGTACAATGGGGAATTCCTTTCTCAGACCTGACACAGAGGGCACAAAAGATTTCCCATGATAGGTCATTACTTTGGAACCCAAGAGTTACCACATTCCACATATTATGTCTATTTTCCTTATCCTGGAAGTACAGTAACAGTAATCACCAGCACCATCATCACAGTATTTATAAAAGTAGTAACAATACTAATTTAAACAATGTAGTATTAACTGAAACCGTACAGATGGTTAATTAGCATGAACTGCTAAATATTTGTTATAGAGCTTGCTCTACCTGAGACTTTATTCTAGAAGAACAAATGGTACATAGAAAAAGTGGTATACAGGTGGTACACAGAAAAACTAAAGGCTGGAGAGTCACAGAGAGACCCTGCATTAACTGATTATAGCGCTTTGAAGTTACTTAACTAGTCTGAGCTCTGGCGATCTTGTTTGTAAAACAGTGTTAATAATACCCTCCTTGCAGAGTTGTGATGAGGATCAGAAATAATGCATTAAAAACATCCAATTGGTACCTGGTACTTAGTAGGGGCTCCATAAGAAACACATTGTTATAGATAAACCATGCAACTTTTAAATAATTTTTCATCAAATGAAATGACTATAATTAGTAAAAGGCTCTTAAAAATGCGCAAATTTTCACAAGACATGTATTCAATACGTTCTCTATGTCTCCTATGCTGTGTGCCTCCACAAATCTACTCCATTTAATGAGCACCTACACTTAAAACTAAGCAATCCATGTCAAATATTCCATGCAAAATTTGGCCAAACTCTAAATTTGTGTCTTAAATATCCTATTTAGTGACTTATTATCTTATATTTAGTAAGTTATATACATTCAAGGAAAATAATACTAATATTAATAAATGACATGAATATTAACAATAATTTTCTTATATTCATCAAAAAAAGAGCCCAAAAAATAACACCAGGGTCCAGAAACAAACAAATTCTCTGTGGTACCAGTCTAAATTTTTTTCCCTGATAATATATTTAAAATGCTCTAGATAAAATTATTTTTACTTTTGAAACAATAACCAATGTCTGGTAACACAGAATGTGTCATATTGAAGAGAAGCTTCTATTGATTTGTACCTAGAAGGTGCTTACTCAATCAAAATTATGAAGACAGATTCAAAACTCATTTAAGTTTTCTCTTGCCTTTGAAAAGAACCAGAGCCAAAGAGGGTGTGTATGAGGTCTCGCCAAGTTGTTTAAATGCTTAGTTTGTGCCCAGGATGTTCTATGGTATACTTTCTATATAAATAATTGACTTATTACTATCTAGCATCCAAATATCACATGTAGGACCAAGTCGACAGGTATAGACATATTACCGCGGAAAGGAATTTGCTTCCACCACCAAGGGTGGAAATTGGAAATCAGGACTTCTCAGGGACTTTTTTTTTTTATGCCTCGTAGGTAGTTATTTTCTGTGTGTCACAAGATACCAATAGGCAACCTGACTACTCAGAAAGGTAAAATGGGCTAACAGATGGAAGATTTAAGTCTACAGAATCTGTACAGAAAGATTAATGTGTTTTTTTTTTTTGTTTGTTTGTTTTGGGTTTTTTTTGAGTTGGAGTCTCACTCAGTGGCCCAGACTGGAGTGCAGTGGTACGCTCCTGGCCACCGCAGCTTCGACCTGCTGGGCTCTGGCGATCCTTCTTCCTCAGCCTTCCAAGTAGCTGGAACTACTGACGCGCACTACCACGCCTGGCTAATCTTTTGATTTATGTAGAGATGAGGTCTCACCAAGTTGCCCAGGTGGGTCTCAAACCCGTGGGCTCAGGCAATCCACTCATCTCAGCCTCCCAAAGCACGGGATTACAGGCTGAGCCACTGAGCCCAGCTGAAAGATTAATGTTTTAATCAGCATAAATAAAGACTGGCTAAGAAGCAGGTAGATACTGTACAAAATTACTGGCAACTTTAAAAATAAATTCTCTCTGAAAGTTCTTCAGGCAGTCTGGAAACAGCATCTATTTTTCTGTCCAAAGTGTATGATATACAGCAAACATTTAATGGGAAGAAGACAATACAATTCCTGTCCTGAAGTAGTTTACCAATGAATTCTATTCACGCTATTGGAAGCAACAGCCTTTTTCACTAAATTCACCTTTGCTAATGTATGCATCCATCCATCCATCCATCCATCCATCCATCCATCCATCCATCCATCCATCCATCCATCCATCCATCCATCCGAGTCAGGTCTTGCTCTGTTGGCCAGGATGGAGTGCAGTAGCACATTCATGGCTCACCACAGCCTTAGCCTCCTGGGCTCAGGTGATACTTCTACTTCAGTCTCTTGAGTAGCTGGGACTATAGGTATGCACTAACATGCCCAGCTAATTTTTTTATTTTTTTGTGGAGACAAGGTCACACTATGTTGCCCAGGCTGGTCTCGAACTCCTTTCACCTCAACCTCCCAAAGTGCTAGAATTACAGGCATGAACCACTGTGCCCAGCCTTTATTATAGAGATCTTTGAGGGGTTGCATGAATTTCTTCCCATGCTCACTGAATTAATTTTCATGACTCATTGAGTCAATCAGCTATTTAATCATTCACTGACCTATCAAGGACTTGTATCTGCTTTTCATTTTCATTTTGGAAATTATTTCATTCAGAAATCCTGTTAGGTACACTGAATTTTAGAATATGAATATCTGATTTTGAAGAAGTAGGCAGTCAACAAATATTCATCCTCATGCCCACAGAATGGAGAAAACTGTTTGAGGTGCTTCACTGTTGCCTTTTATAGGACAATACAAATTATTAAAGCAAACCATAAAATATAATTTATGACTGTATAAGCTCTTTATGTAAATGAGTCTAAACTTCTTGGTATATTTCCTAATGTCAAACTAAAGTATATGATTAGAGAAAAAAATTTGAAGATAAGCAGAAAGAGAAAAATTGACTTCTACAGAGTAGAAACTATTGTTACTATGGTGAATCTGTTTCATATAAACACAGTGGTCCTATTTCTTGACCATTCATTTTTTACCCCTTAGAACTTGGCTCCTTTCACGTGATACCAGTCTGAGCCACCACTAGTGATCTTCAAGTTGACAAATACAATATTCATTTTTTCTTTACTTTCCATAATTTCTAACTTTCCTGATATTCTGTCTCTATTGGTGTCTAGGACTCAGTATTCCTGGTTTTCTTTCTTTTTGCATCCCCTCTCTTGAACACTTCTCTGATTCTCCTTCATTCCATACCATAAACTCAGGTGTGCTGTAAGATCTGTCTTTGGGCTGGGCTCAGTGGCTCAGCCTGTAATTCTAGCACTTTGGGAGGCTGAGGTGAATGGATTGCCTGAGCCCATGAGTTCAAGACCAACCTGGACAACTTGGTGAGACCTTGTCTCTACAAGAAATCAGAATTTAGCCAGGCATGGTAGCACGCACCTGTAGTTCCAGTTACTTGGAAGGCTGGGGTGGAAGGACTGCCGGACCCCAGCAGTTCGACGCTGGGGTTGCTGTGAGCATGCCATTGCACTCCAGCCTGGGTGACAGAGTGAGACTCCAACTCAAAAAAAGTAAAAAAAATAGAAAGATCTGTCTTTGGTCCTATTTTCTTTTCTTCCTATTCTGGTAACCTCACTGTAAATTAGTCCCAAATTTCCAACAGCCAGCTAGACAGGTGTCCTGTCTAGCTCTCACACCTAAAACTCCTGAGATTTCTTACTGGAACCTCAAATTGAATGTGTATGGCATTTTCCCTCTTTCAAGTCTACTACTTCTGTGGTTTCTATTTCTGTTAAGGATTTCATCACCTTCCTAGGCCCTCAAAAAACCCAAAATTCTCTGAAATATTGGCTCCCTTCCCCACTTCCTGCAAACTGAAAAAACTGCCAAATCCTATCAGTTCAACCTTAATATATTTCATATCAGTCTTTTTCTCCATTATTAGTCACAGTGATTCTCCTCATTCAGAGTCTCATTATTTCTTGCCTTCCTTATTACAACGGCTTCTTAACTCATCTCTCTGCTTTCCATGGTTTTCTTCAGCAACCTGTCTTAATCAGTCTGTTAAATTAGTTCAACTGAAAACACTGTTCAAAATGTTCAGTGACTCTCCAAAGAGTACTGTAAAATCTAAATCCTCCCTTCTAGGCCTTCAAAGCGCTCAACAAATTGGTCCTAATTATTTTCTAATCTTTTTGTTGTTGCTCAGTTGTTTATTTCATTTTTTTTTTTTTCCGCTAAAAGGTTTTATTCCATACATGCCTGGTTCCCTCTCACCTCTATACCTCTTGTTCACGTGGTCCTTTTCCCTGTGCTAATCCCTATCACTGCCCTTGCTCAAAGTCTGTTTCTATATAACCACTTTTCTACCCTTCAAGCTACACATAAAACATAAACATGTTTTACACAGAAAGTTTTACGATCCTATCAGTCAGATTCTATTTTTGTAATTCGTTGGAAAAAAAAAAACACCCAGAGTTTTTCCTCTCTTTTTGGTATAGGGATAGTTCTAATCTTAACTCCTTATATTGTAAGTTCCTTGAGGGCAAAAATCTCCCCAATCATTCCACATACTTTTACTGTCTACTCTTGATAATCACATGTGATTACTGAGCACTGAAACTGAGGTTAGTGCAAATTGAAATGTGCGACGAATGTAATATAAACACTGAATTTCAAAGAGTTAGGATAAAAAAGTAAAATAATTAATAAACTTTACCAATTTTATATTGATTAGCTATTAAATAATATTTGGATCCACTGGGTTAAATAAAATTTATTAATTTCACCTGTTTCTCTTTACCTTTTTCATACTATAGAGTGTTAAAAACTTTAAAATTACTCAAAACAAGTAAAATTACTCACACGTGGTTAATATGAGGTCTCTATAGGACAGTGCTGTGCTATACTCTATGCAAGTAGTGAGGATATGAAGGTAAGAGGAACCACTATTTTCTTCAAGGAACTCACATCTGCTGTATCATGATGTACATCAAAGCGACCAGTACAGCTTTACTCTAGTGGTTAATGCATGCATTTAATGAGCAAATCTGGAACTGTGAGCGAGTAGCCTAGTCAGCAGGAACTGGTGATTGGGCAAAAATTAGTTGGGATAAAAATTCTAGAGAACTTGAATGCAGAAATTTGTGGGGAGTTGTGGGAACAGGCAAGAGTTTCTTCACTTTTCACTAGAGTTTTGCATGCATAATAATACTCTCAAGACTTAGGTGAGTTTGAGGAAAGTAGGCCACCTCAGGTGACACCCTGAGATGATGCCTACTGATATTATTGCATATACCAGAATCATGAACTCGGGGACCCAGGGAAAGCTATATATGCTGATGGGCTTTCTATTTCTGCACATATTGTATTAAACCAATTTGGTCCTCTACTATTGAGAGACTTCTTATAGTTGAAATGCAAACCACAACACTTTAGTCAGATAGAACTAGATAACATGCAGAATTTGAGCTCAATTTGTTGGTCTCATGAGGGAGACCAACAAATTGAAAGGGAAAGAAAAAAAATTTTCTTTTAAAATTGAAAGGGAAAGAAAAGAAAATTTCTTTCCTACCTAGTGCATCATGAAGATACTGCTGTCCCACCAACTTGAGGTATTCCTCAATGGATTTGGTGGCAATGGTGTTCTCTCTGAAGATCAAAACATCATGCTCTCCACAACGATCCACCTCAGACATCACCAAGTCGGTCAGAAAATCCTGGTAGAATAATGTTCAATCAGGCAGAAAGCAACTGAATAAATAATATACATTTAAAGAGACTAATGAAATATCAGACATCCTGGGAAAGCCTCTTTAAAGCTACCAGATTCATTTGGAAGGAAAAAAAACAGCAATCAGGATAAAATCTTAGGTGTATCTATTCCTAAGTTGAAGATTCCCTCAAAGACTTTCCACTGTACTTTTGATAAAGACCTCACTTCTGAATATAGCCTGCAAGTCTCTATATTTTCTGGTTTCTGCCTACCTTTCCAGTCTCTTCTTGTACCTTTCTCTTCGCATTCTGCTCCAGCCTTTAGGACTTTCTTTTTAGGTCCTTTAATACACCAAGCCCTTTCTAACACACAATACTCCATGCATCACAAAGCCTTTTTTCAGCAAATGCCATCTGAAGTTCTGCTCTGCTCCCATCCTTGCTCCTGCCCCTGCCGTCATGGGGTTAATTCCTGGGGCCCTTTGGATCTCTGTTCACAAATCATTCCTCAGTGAATCCTTTCTTGACCAAAACTGCCCTGAACCCCACTAGGTTGGTCCCTCTGCTCCACGCTCTCAGAGCACCATGTCTCTTTTTATCCTCTCAAGTTCTTACTGTAATCACACACACTTATTTCCATAGTTACTTAATACCTATTTTCACGAGAAAACTGTAATCTGATGAGGCCAAGGACAATGTCTATTTTTGTTCACCATACTATCTTCAGTACCTAACAGTCTGTGATATATATTAGGTGATGAATATATCTTAGTTACAAATTGGTCCACAGTATCAACATGGAATGTATGGAACTCAAAACTTTAACTCATTTTTGAAGCTGACTATGTATATATCTGTCAATCTATCTGCCCATCCATCCATCCAGAAGAAAGGCATAAGGAGAAATAAAATCCCGATGAAACAGCTGCTTCATTCCCCAACAGTCTAAAGAATTTGCTATAAAATTCAGTGTTTGTTGTTGTTCAGCTTGAAATGTGATAACATCATATATTTTGAATGTTACATATTTATTGGCTATTCCAAGGCCTCCAGACCCCCAAACAGAAGGAATATGCTGATTTACTTTTACTTTATTTTTTTAAAAGAGAGTCTCGCTCTGTTGCCTATACTGGAATGCAGTGGTACAATCATAGCTCACTTTAGTCTTGAACTCCTGGGCTCAAAGGACTACACCTTAGTCTCCTTAGCTCACCTTAGCCTCCTGAGTAGCTATGACTGTAGGCATACACCCTTATGCCTGGTTAAATTAAAAAAAAAATTTTTTTTTGTTTTGCAGAGATGGGGTCTCATTATGTTGTTCAGGATGATCTTGAACTCCTGGCCTCAAGCAATCTTTCTGCTTCAGTCTCCTAAAGTGCTAGGATTAGAGACTTGAGCTACCATGCCAGGCCTACTTTTACTTTAAAATTAAGCATTTTAAACGTTAATAGAACTTACTCTGGGGCAGCTCACAGTAAAAAAGAGCTGCAGACTTAGAAAGTACAATTAAACATAGACTAAGGAACAAGAGAAAACTTGTGGGTGATGGTAACATTCAGTATCTTGATTATGGTGGTGGTTTCAATGGATGTATAATCTGTCTAAACGTTTCCACTTTAAATGCATGTAATTTATTATACCTAAATTTTGTACAGATCAACACAGTCATTAAATAATCTTATGTCTATCCCAAACCTTGAGCAATTGAAAAGTAAAAAAAAAATACCCATACAACTACAAAGATGAGACTCAAAATTTTAATAGCAACTTACTCAATACTCTCAAGCTATTTTTATGACAGAAAACTCAAGATTATCATCAGTAAATTCAATCACAAAAACTATAATCAATAGAAAGGCAGTAAGGTAAGGGACTAAGTATTAACTATATATAGATACATTCTGATTTCTGTCAAGAAATCTTTAGAGCACTTTATTTTACTCTTTGGTTCTAAATAAATTCTGCTGGCTGTGAACTTCTCTGGATCTGAAATATAATTTTACCATGACCAGTTTGCATGTAATATAATAGAGATTCAGCTTAGTTAGGTAAATAGGCCTCATAGGAGACTCTAGCGATTGGTTGTTGTTCTTCCTACAACAACCGTATTTCTCTTTTTTAATCTTCCTGAATTTTTACTTCTGTCCAGGACAAAAGGAGATAAGTCCATCATGAAATAGCTAGCAACTATATAGTAACCCTTGGTATTTTTACTCCAAATACAGGTTTTAATCCCATGAGGACTCTTGCTTCTACCTAGCATGCTTCTGGAATACCTCCTCTGTGCCTAGAGGATATAGTCATCAGTTAATCTTAAACAATATATAGTGAGGAAGAAAACTGCCATACAACATCCTATACTAAAAATAAAGAATCCTGGACATGCTGGTGGGGTTATCATCCCAATCCTACCATTTATTTTTGTCATATAACAAAGAGCTGGCTATGGTATTTATCTTTCATGCAAATAGACTTTAAATCGATATTTGTTGGTCTCTCCATTTACTTCTTTAATTTTAAAATCCCTGTGTTTTCTGGATCTAAGAATTGCTAATGAATTTTCTTCTTAACTATTTTTCTTCTTGTTTGACCAATAACAAAGCACATTTCTCTAATTTGGATCTCTACAGTGTCCATATCTTCATTTCTTTGTAAAAGGTAGGGAAGAGACTTCAGGTAATGCAACATCCCTTTTCCACTTACCTTGGCCCTGCCAGTACTTTGAAGAATGTGCACTAAGGCACAAGCCAGCTCCTCTTTATTTCTCACGCTAATTACTGGCTCAAGAACAGAACACAGCATGGTGTAGTTGCTGGTGACAAATTCTGCAAATTCTTTGTATTGCTCCATAGGCAGAATGGTGATAGTTTGGAAACGTGATTTAATCCGAATAGAAGGTCCTCCTGTTTTTCCTTTGTTGGGTGTAGGTGTACTTACTGGATACCACTTTTCTATAAATTGGCGACCAGTCACACTGGCAGTGGGGATGTTAACTAGCCCTACATAATTATTTTTGTCCTTCTTTTTCTTTTTTTCCACATCTTTATAAATGTGAACTGTGATACTGTGAAGAGGTGGAAGGCTGAAGAATTCAAAATGTTCACCCCAGAAAATATTATCTGCTTTGGTCTTGCTGGTTGTACGAGCAAATAGGGTATCATCAAGGCACAGTTCACAGAAATATTTCTTTTTAGGGGCAAGGTCCTTGGCTTCGATGATCCATAAACGAAGAACATTTTCGGCTCTTCTGCAGTTGTCCTGTAAAGGGGTAACAAAGTTGAATTTGAGAGCTGACATCACAAAGAAAATATTTTCTTCTCAATGTAGGTGATGCTGATTATGTAACTCTATTAAGTGGAGTCAACAAATGAAAGAGATTGCTATCTCATTGTTTAGGACAACAGCCAGCTCTAAACAAGAAAGCATCAGAATCTTAAAGAACTACATATATTCTATTTTACTTGGGTTAAGAAAATATCATCTTGTAATGTTTTCATATAGCCAGCCTAGTGGCAACTGGACTAGTTTCTGCAAATAAAAAAAAGACATAATAAGTTCAGAAGTTTGTGCTCTAGTCTCTTTTTTATCTTGTACAGGCGTCTGACTTGGGCAAGTCACTTAACTTTTCTGAGTCTTCTTATCCACACCAGTAAGACCATAATAATATCTACAATAAGATTATTTTTAGCTTAAAATGACACAACATACAAATGTGCTTTAAAACTCTAAAGCTCTATAAAAATGAATTGCTTAAAAAGTTATGCCTTTTTTAGACACTCAAAGGTACTATTACCTTATTAGGTTGAACTGTCCTGCGAAGGTTTTCCATCCACTTGTCTCTCTCAGAAGCAGAATTACAGCTGAAGCATTTACTTCCACTTAAGTAGGTCACCTTCAACATAAAGATTAGAGATAAAGAAAAGGAAACAGAGGATTTGGGGGCTCTATCTTCCTAGTTTTATCATTTAAAAGTTAAAATTATGCTATGAACCCAAATCATATTACATGACATTTAAATGATCTTTGTTATTTTTGTGATATCAATTTACATCTGTTTACATTTGTTTTTTGCTTAGGGAACATCCACATTCAATTCCAGGTTTGAGAATAAAGGGCATTTTAAGTTCAGCTAAGTAACCTAAAACTGGCCTATGGTTCAGAAAAATCTAAATTAAAGACCTTTTAGGTAACAACTTAAGTTACCTGCCAATGAATATGCTCAATTCTGAGTGAGTTAATAAAAAATAACTGAAAAGGGAAGAAAGTTTTCAAAACAGCTTATCAGATTTCTTGAGACTACCTTCACTATAATATTACAGAAAACGAAATTGAGAAGTTACCACTATTGAATTACTATCTTTGGAACCCATTTTTCCTCCACCAGGCAACCAGCCTATTGATTTCCAGTTATTATTAGGTTAGCATGACCACCATTATCACAGTCCTTTCAAATGAAGCATGCTGGTACATGCCTAGCACTTAACACTGGGCTTGGCACACGGCCTATTGAAATGAGTTCTAAAAATATGGAAAAGTTCAAGTGATTTTTATAAAAAAGAACACTAATAAACAACCTGCCCAAATTGCTGAAGTATGCCTACATATGACCTCAATCTCAGGTCATAACTTAGTGAATCAGATCAGATCATACGCTCTGAGCAATATGGCAGCTACTAGCCTCTTGTGGCTAGTCCACATTAAGATGTGCTGTAAGTGTAAAATACCAGATTAGTGTAAAATATCAGATTTTGAAGATTCAGCATAAAAAAATTTAAACTATCTCATTGATGATTTTTATATTAGTTGTTGAAATAATATTTGGGCTAAATAAAATTGAAAATTACATAAGCACCTTGTATCATATTTCTTTTGGAAATATTCTTTGGAATTCTTTTAGATAAAGCTGGTCCATAACAATAGTAATCAAACCACTTTCAACTTCCGCAACATTTAGCACAGGAGTAGTCACCAGTCACTAAGTTTTTAATTAATCAAGTCCTAACCCTAAACATTATAAATATGCAGAAATAAATAAATAAATATAGTTTTCAAACTTAACTTGTAAATGAGAAATTACCTTATAAAAATCATAGTTGGCAATTTGTTTTTCAAGAAATCTAGGTGCCTGCAATGTGCCAGGGACTGAGCTATGGAGGACTGGGAACAGAGGCCCACAAAAGTAAGTAAGACACGGTCCTAGATCTTGAACTTCTTGTGTTGTAGTTAGAAAAAATTATGGTTTGAGTCAATTTCCTCAAAAACAAAAAACAAAACCATTGAAATTGGTAGCTGGTCAGGCACAGTGACTCAAGCCTGTAATCCCAGCATTTTGGGAGGCCAAAGTAAGGGGATTGCCTGGGTCCACGGGTTCAAGAACAGCCTGGGCAACTTGGCAAGACCTCATCTCTATAATAAAAATCAAAAAAAATTAGCCGGGCGTGGTTGCACGTTCCTGTAGTTCTGGCTACTTGGAATGCTGAGGCGGAAAGATCACCTGAGTCCAGCAGGTCAACCCTGGGGTGGCTGTGAGCGTGCCACTGCACTCCAGCCTGGACAACGGAGTAAGACTCCAACTTGAAAAAAAAAATTGGTAGCTTAGAGTTTCAGGAGAAAAATAATAACATAATGAGTGACACCCTTATTAATACTGAAAAATAAGCCTATTAATTTAATAACTAATTGTTAGTATAGTCATGTGACCTGACAATGCTGAGAATGTACTAAGAATCCAATTTTTTTTTGGAAACAGGGTCTTACTCTGTTACCCAGGCTGGAGTGCAATGGCACAATCCTGGCTTGCTGCAGTCTTGACCTTCTGGGCTCAAGTGATCCTCCTGTCTGGGCCTCCTGAGTAACTAGGACTACAGGCATATACCACCATTCCCAACTAATGTTTTATTTTTTGTAGAGATGAGGTCTCACTATGTTGCTCAGGCTGGTCTCGTCTCCTGGGTGCAGGCAATTCTCCTGACTCAGCCTCCCAAAGTGCTGGGATTCAAGGTATAAACCACTAGGCCCAGGCAGAATCCAATGTTTTAGGAAAGAATACAAGACCCCCCCCCCAAAAAAAAAAAATTATGAAGCTATCATTAATAATTTTCACTACAGACCAGCCTGGGCAACTTGGCGAGACCTTATCTCTACAATAAATCAAAAAATTAGCTGGGCGTGGTAGTGCGCGCCTGTAGTTCCAGCTACTTGGAAGGCTGAGACAGAAGGATCGCCGGAGCCCAGTAGGTCGAGGCTGCAGTGGCCGAGAGTAGTGCACTCCAGCCTGGGTAACATAGTGAGACTCCAACTCAAAAAACAAACAAACAAACAAATAAACAAACAATAAATCAAAAATTAGTCGGGCATGGTAGCGTGCCTGCTAGTTCCAGCTACTTGGAAGGCTGAGGAGGAAGGAGAGTTGGAGGCCAGCAGTCGATGCTGTGCACTCCAGCCTGAGTGAAAGAGTGAAACTCCAACTAAAAATAATAATAATAATAACAATAATTTTCCCTACAAATGTAATTAGATTAATATATTTCCAACTAATTCCCTGTAAGTAGGTAATTTTCAGCAACTGAAAACCAGTTAAGATAATCAAATCATCAATACCAAAGTAATAAAATCACAAATTACTGGACAAAAAATCTACTTCTTATTTAACTACTCTTCCTTCTTACACACTTATTTTACCTCGAAGCAGAAGTCTTGTCCAAGAATGCTACTATGGAGTGGTTTCACTGATATGGGCTCCCCTCTACCAAGATCCAAACATTCCACTGCACTGCACGGGCTCAGCAAGGATTCATGAGAACGTGACTCTTTTAGTTTAGGCAGCCCACGAGACCTAAAAGTAGAGAAAAATATTTAAGGTAGTGCAACCTTGGCCAACAAGAAAATGAAGGTCTAATGCAATGGACGCTAACAACAAAAGTACAAATGCCTAAGGGAATAAATAAACGAGGAACAAATTAAAAGTTAATATAATAACAGTAATAGTAATCATATTCATGTGGCAAATATAAACTACATATATGTATGTGAGTATACACAAACTTTTTTCAACAAAGTATAAAAAACATTCTAAAATTCTATGGTCTCAAGGGAAAACAACGCTCCACTGTAGATGTTGTTTTTTATCCTAATTTCTCCCTTGGAAGACTCAGAAATATATCCAGTTCAGGGTTACTTTATATTTTCTTTTTTAAGCAAAGGTATTGTTAAAAGAGAAATTGTAGCCGGGCTCGGTGGCTCAGCCTGTAATCCCGCGCCTTTGGGAGGCTGAGGTGAGTGGATTGCCTGAGCCCGCGGGTTCGAGACCCGGATGGGCAGTGAGACCTCATCTCTACAATAAATCAAAAAAAATTAGCCCGG